TGAACCGGCACTAAACAAGGACTAAAGCAGGACTGAACCGGCACTAAACAAGGACTAAACCAGGACTAGACTGGCACTAAACCAGGACTAAACCAGGTCTAAACCAGGACTAAACCAGGACTAAAGCAGGACTGAACCGGCACTAAACAAGGACTAAACCAAGACTAAACCGGCACTAAACCAGGACTACACCAGGTCTAAACCAGGTCTAAACCAGGACTAGACCAGGACTAGACCAGGACTAAACCAGGACTAGACCAGGACTAAACCAGGACTAAACCAGGACTAAACCAGGACTAAACCAGGACTAGACCAGGATTATAACACAACTAAAGTAAAGTAATTAAGTCAAATGTTGTGAACAAATCAGAGCACATCCTGCAGCCTTCATCAAGACAGAGCTGATTGGCTGAGAGCTGATTGGCTGAGAGCTGATTGGCTGAAAGAGGGTGGTCCTCACTTTGTCCCTTTTCTGTCTAGAAAAATCTGGTCTAAAGATGTGAGACAGAAATACATGAAAACTACAGATCGAAGAAACTGTTTTAGAGCCAGAACCAGAGACATGGGTTTGTTGAGTCCTGTTGGTCTGAAAGTCACGGACCCCAGCTTTAAAACCACTGGATCATGAACCCACACTGAGGACCAGGCATTTTGGCTCAGATGTAACTTTAAAGGCATTCAATTTGAATAATGAGGAAATCCTGGTTTAGACCTGGTTTAGACCTGGTCCAGCTGTAGGGAGTAGGACAGAGGAAGTAGGAGTTAGGAAGTAGGAAGAAGGACGTAGGAGGTAGGAGGTAGGAGGTACGGAGAGTGCATCAGGACATAATTCACAGAGTGCAGTTTGAGAAATGGCTGCAGCTCCATTATCAAAATGGGCTGAGTCACTGCAGCGGAATCCTAATGAGACCAGGACCAGGACTGAGACCAGAGACTAGGGACCAGGACTGAGACCAGGACTGAGACCAGGACTGAGACCAGGACTGAGACCAGGACTGAGACCAGAGACTAGGGACCAGGACTGAGACCAGGACTGAGACCAGGACTGAGACCAGAGACTAGGGACCAGGACTGAGACCAGGACTGAGACCAGAGACTAGGGACCAGGACTGAGACCAGGACTGAGACCAGGACTGAGACCAGAGGCCAGGACTGAGAGTTGAGAGAGACCACAGAGAGAAAAGAGAGAGAGAGAGATGAGAGAGGGACCAGAAAGAGACCAGAGAGACTGGAGAGAGAGACCAGAGAGAGACTAAAAAGAGAGACCAGAGAGAGACCAGAGAGAGACTAGAAAGAGCGACCAGAGGGACCAAAAAGAGACCAGAGAGAGACCAGAGAGAGACTAGAAAGAGCGACCAGAGGGACCAAAAAGAGACCAGAGAGAGACTGGAAAAAGAGACCAGAGAGAGACCAGAGGGAGACTAGAAAGAGGGACCAGATACTGAAACTAGAGACACACCATGGGTAGACCAGACCATGGTTCGTGTCTGGGACCATAGCTGCTACTGCTGCTGCTGCTGCTGGTGGTGCTGGTGCTGCTGAATCTGGTGCCTCTGAACACCCACAGTTTGACCTCTGACCTCTGCCTGAAGCTCTGTGTTTTAGGAAGCTGCAGCTGCACAAAAATATTCAGCAGATCGATAACTCGCTCATAAATATAGATGCTCAGAAACACGACGAGCTAAAGCTGAGGTTCGTAACTTTAGCCTCATGAATAACACCGTTTGTCTCCGTGTGAGAGAGACCCCTGTGAGCTGAGAGCTGATTGGCCGAGAGAGGGGGGTCCTAAAGATCAGACAGAGACACGGGTTCTATTGGTCTGAAAGTTACAGACCCCAGCTTTAAAGTCACCTACAGAGAGAGAGAGAGAAACAAGAGAGAGAGACCAGAGAGAGAGACCAGAGGGAGACCAGAGAGAGAGACCAGAGGGAGACCAGAGAGAGAGACCAGAGGGAGACCAGAGAGAGAAACAAGAGAGAGAGACCAGAGAGAGAGACCAGAGGGAGACCAGAGAGAGAGACCAGAGAGAGAGACCAGAGGGAGACCAGAGGGAGACCAGAGAGAGAGACCAGAGAGAGACCAGAGGGAGACCAGAGAGAGACCACAGAGTTCATAGAGAGACCAGAAAGAGAGACCAGAGAGAGACCAGAGGGAGACTAGAGAGAGAGAGACCAGAGGGAGACCAGAGAGAGACCAGAGGGAGACCAGAGAGAGACCAGAGAGAGAGAGACCAGAGAGAAACCAGAGAGAGACCAGAGAGAGACCAGAGAGAGAGAGACCAGAGAGAAACCAGAGAGAGACCAGAGAGAGACCAGAGAGAGACCAGAGGGAGACCAGAGAGAGACCAGAGGGAGACCAGAGAGAGACCAGAGGGAGACCGGAGAGAGAGACCAGAGAGAGAGACCAGAGAGAGACCAGAGAGAGACCAGAGGGAGACCAGAGAGAGACCAGAGGGAGACCGGAGAGAGAGACCAGAGAGAGAGACCAGAGAGAGACCAGAGAGAGACCAGAGGGAGACCAGAGAGAGGGAGACCAGAGAGAGACCAGAGAGAGACCAGAGGAAGACCAGAGAGAGACCAGAGAGAGACCAGAGAGAGACCAGAGGGAGACCAGAGAGAAACCAGAGAGAGACCAGAGGAAGACCAGAGAGAGACCAGAGGGAGACCAGAGAGAGACCAGAGGGAGACCGGAGAGAGAGACCAGAGAGAGAGACCAGAGAGAGACCAGAGAGAGACCAGAGGGAGACCAGAGAGAGGGAGACCAGAGAGAGACCAGAGAGAGACCAGAGGAAGACCAGAGAGAGACCAGAGGGAGACCAGAGAGAGACCAGAGGGAGACCGGAGAGAGAGACCAGAGAGAGAGACCAGAGAGAGACCAGAGAGAGACCAGAGGGAGACCAGAGAGAGGGAGACCAGAGAGAGACCAGAGAGAGACCAGAGGAAGACCAGAGAGAGACCAGAGAGAGACCTCCTTTAAAGTCTTTGTGTATTTTCATATTTTCTAAACGTTTTGTGGAAACCGTTTGAAGTGCTGCAGGAGATTGTTCCAGTTTAATCAGAGACATAAATATCTGGATTAATCCTTCGTTTTCCTGCGATATTTAAAGAAGCCGCGACGAGGACGTTCTCAGACGGATTACAACGTCACAAAGAGCCTATAGAAACCCTGTGCTCGTAACCATGGTAACGGCCAAACGCCCTCTTCACACATGTGCCGTGGTACGGATCAGGAAAATAGAAACAGAAGAAAAACATTCATTAAAAATAATAGTCATCACATATAAATATACTTTTAATTTAAGTTTTCTGAGGAGAAAAATAAAAACTTTGTTAAATTATTAGACTAAAATGTAATACAGTCAAGTTAAAATCAACATTTTACAAATAATTTTATCACACACTTTTTACGCTAAATATCTTATCTCTCGTCTCTCCCGGTCTTTCTCTGGTCTCTCTCTGGTCTCTCTGGTCTCTCTCTGGTCTCTCTCTGGTCTCTTGTCTCTCCCTGGTTTCTTGTTGATCTATCTCTGGTCTCTCTGTGATCCCTCTGTGGTCTCTCTCTGGTCTCTCTGGTCTATCTCTGGTCTCTCTGGTCTCTCTCTGGTCTCTCTGGTCTATCTCTGGTCTCTCTGGTCTCTCTCTGGTCTCTCTGGTCTAACTCTGGTTTCTCTCTGGTCTCTCTCTGGTCTCTCTCTGGTCTCTCTCTGGTCTCTCCCGATCTTTCACTGGTCTATCTCCGGTCTCTCTCTGGTCTCTCTCTGGTCTCGCTCTGGTCTTTCACTGGTCTATCTCCGGTCTATCTCCGGTCTCTCTCTGGTCTCTCTCTGGTCTTTCACTGGTCTATCTCCGGTCTCTCTCTGGTCTCTCTCTCTGGTGTCTCTCTGGTCTCTCTCTGGTCTCTCTCTGGTCTCTCTCTGGTCTCTCTCTGGTGTCTCTCTGGTCTCTCTCTGGTCTCTCTCTGGTGTCTCTCTGGTCTCTCTCTGGTCTTTCACTGGTCTATCTCCGGTCTCTCTCTGGTCTCTCTCTGGTCTTTCACTGGTCTATCTCCGGTCTCTCTCTGGTGTCTCTCTCTGGTGTCTCTCTGGTCTCTCTCTGGTCTCTCTCTGGTCTCTCTCTGGTCTCTCTCTGGTGTCTCTCTGGTCTCTCTCTGGTCTCTCTCTGGTGTCTCTCTGGTCTCTCTCTGGTCTTTCACTGGTCTATCTCCGGTCTCTCTCTCTGGTCTCTCTCTGGTCTTTCACTGGTCTATCTCCGGTCTCTCTCTGGTGTCTCTCTCTGGTGTCTCTCTGGTCTCTCTCTGGTCTCTCTCTGGTCTCTCTCTGGTGTCTCTCTGGTCTCTCTCTGGTCTCTCTCTGGTGTCTCTCTGGTCTCTCTCTGGTCTCTCTCTAGTGTCTCTCTGGTCTCTCTCTCTGGTCTCTCTCTGGTGTCTCTCTGGTCTCTCTCTGGTGTCTCTCTGGTCTCTCTCTGGTCTCTCTCTGGTGTCTCTCTGGTCTCTCTCTGGTCTCTCTCTGGTGTCTCTCTGGTCTCTCTCTGGTGTCTCTCTGGTCTCTCTCTGGTCTCTCTCTGGTGTCTCTCTGGTCTCTCTCTGGTGTCTCTCTGGTCTCTCTCTGGTGTCTCTCTGGTCTCTCTCTGGTCTCTCTCTGGTCTCTCTCTGGTGTCTCTCTGGTCTCTCTCTGGTGTCTCTCTGGTCTCTCTCTGGTGTCTCTCTGGTGTCTCTCTGGTCTCTCTCTGGTGTCTCTCTGGTCTCTCTCTGGTGTCTCTCTGGTCTCTCTCTGGTGTCTCTCTGGTCTCTCTGGTGGTGAATCTAAAATTACTATCAAACACTGATCTGAAAACAAACCCTCGTCTTTGTCCCGGTGTTGTTGTGGTCTGAGTCCGGTCTCTTTGTGAGAACAGGTGTCTCTCTGCTCCGCTCTGACGCCCTGAAACAAAAGTCTGTCGCCGCAGCAACTGCAAACAAGAGCTGCTTAATTACATATGCAAATGAGGTGATTAAATATGCAGATGAGGCGTGGGAGCGGAGGCGAGAGGAGGTACTCACCGCCCCTCCCCCACCCGCGCAGACGGGTGAGGAGACGCAGGGTTCAGGGAGGGAGAGAGGACCAGGATGAGCTGCACTACCCCCTGGTGGCAGAGGAGGGGAGTGACAGGGAGACCAGAGAGAGACCAGAGGGAGACCAGAGAGAGACCAGGGAGAGAGACCAGCGAGAGACCAGGGAGAGTCCAGAAAGAGACCAGAGAGAGACCAGAGGGAGACCAGCGAGAGACCAGAGAGAGATCAGAGAGAGTAAAAAGAAAGAGTCCAGAGAGAGACCAGAGAGAGAGACCAGAGAGAGAGACCAGAGGGAGACCAGAGGGAGACCAGAGAGAGAACAGAGAGAGACCAGAGGGAGACCAGGGAGAGACCAGAGGTAGACCAGGGAGAGAGACCAGAGAGAGAGAGACCAGAGAGAGAGACCAGAGGGAGACCAGGGAGAGAGACCAGAGGGAGACCAGAGAGAGAGACCAGAGGGAGACCAGAGAGAGAACAGAGAGAGACCAGAGACAGACCAGAGAGAGACCAGAGGGAGACCAGAGAGAGAGACCAGAGGGAGACCAGAGAGAGAGCAGAGAGAGAGACCAGAGGGAGACCAGAGAGAGAACAGAGAGAGACCAGACAGAGACCAGAGAGAGACCAGAGAGAGACCAGAGAGAGACCAGAGAGAGACCAGAGAGAGACCAGAGAGAGAGACACGAGGCACCTGCTGGAGACCAGAGTCAAGAGGGAGACCAGAGAGAGATCACAGGAACACCTGAGACCAGAACGAGATCAGAAAAAGACCAAAGAGAGAGATCAGAGAGAGACCAGAAAGATAGACCAGAGTCAAGAGGGAGACAGGAAAGAGACCTGAGAGAGACCAGAGGAACACCAGAAACCAGAAAGAGATCAGAAAGAGATCAGAGAGAGACTATAGACACTTGTTCCGTTGACAAATCTTCAACAGCACGGTGGCTGAGTGGATAGCCAAAGTCCAAGGCATCAAAAATGCCATCACCTCCACAGTAGAAATTACAATCCAACAGCCAGTGAAGCTTTTTGGGCTGACACATTTTACACCAGTACAAAATGAAACTGTCCGAATGATTATTACAAGTCTGAGTTCTTCCACATGCAGCCTGGATATATTACCTCCTAGATTTCTAAATCTGTTCTGAGCAGTCTTTTACCTTCACTCACGCATATAGTAAATATGTCTCTTGAATCTGGAACATTCCCAATGGCGCTGAAAACGGCAGTCATCAGACCCCTCCTAAAAATGAGGAGTCTGGATGCCTTGGCACTGAAAAGTTATCGGCCCATTTCAAATCTGCCTTTCATGGGTAAAATTCTAGAAAAAGTTGTCTATCAACAACTTACAGAATTTTTAATAATCAATCACTCTTTTGATATGTTCCAGTCTGGTTTTAGACCCCACCACAGCACAGAGACCGCTCTAGTGAAAAGTCTCAGTTCTTATCCTGTTAGATTTAAGTGCTGCTTTCGACACTGTCGATCATGGTATCCTCATTCAGAGACTTGAGGACTGGGTTGGTGTTTCTGGTACAGCCCTAAGCTGGTTTATGTCCTACCTACAGGACAGAAAGTATTTTGTGGAGATCGGAAACTGTATCTCAGACCATCTGGCCCTAACCTGCGGAGTGCCACAGGGATCCATCCTGGGGCCTCTCCTGTTTAATATTTACATGCTGCCTCTGGGTAGGTTAATACACAGTAATAACGTGTCCTATCACAATTATGCTGACGATACTCAGGTCTATGTGTCCCTGACAGCAGGAGAACATGGACCAGTGGACTCGCTCCTTCACTGTATCCAACAAATCAGTGATTGGATGCAAAATAACTTTCTCCAGCTAAACACAGAAAAAACTGAAATTATTGTTTTCAGACCTCAAAAACAAAGAGAGAGCATTATCTGCCACCTCCAGTCTCTCTCCCTAAAACCCTCAACTCAGGTCAGAAATCTAGGAGTAATAATGGACTCAGACTTAAATTTCAATAGCCACATATCCTCTGTGACGTCATCAGCTTACTTCCACCTAAGAAACATTGCTAAAATTAAAAACATAGTGTCTAAAGCAGACTTGGAGATTCTTATCCATGCATTTGTCTCCAGTAGGTTAGACTACTGCAATGGCCTGCTCACAGGTCTGTCCAAACAGGCTGTAAAACAGCTGCAGTCCATCCAAAATGCTGCAGCTCGAGTCCTGACTAGAACCAGGAAGTACGACCATATTAGTCCGGTCCTCAGGTCTCTGCACTGGCTTCCTGTGGCTCAGAGAATAGACTTTAAAGCAGCTTTACTTGTGTACAAGTCTCTCCATGGCCTCGCACCAGGGTACATCCGCGACATGTTGGTGCCATATGAACCAACAGGGTTCGGGCTCTGAGGAGCACAGGGACTGGACTCCTGTTAGTGCCCAGAGTCGGAACTAGACATGGGGAGGCTGCGTTTCAGATTCATGCAGCTAGAGTCTGGAACCGTCTTCCCGAGAATGTGAGACAGGCGTCTACTCTAGCAGTTTTTAAAACTGAACTGAAAACAGTTCTTTTTAGCTGTTGCATACAAGTGAGTGAATGATTTTATATTTGTTTTTATCTTTAATCTTTTTAATGCGCTATGACTATTTATGATTGTAATCCCTTGTGTGATTTTAATGTTTTACGGTTTTTAACTACTTGTGTGATTTTATATATCTTGTGCTCTTAATCTGTCTTTTTATGTTTACATTAAATTCTAATGTTTGATGATTTATGCATGATGTTATATGGGTTGTGAGGCGCTTTGCGTTGCCTTGTGTAAAAAAAGGCGCTCTACAAATAAATGTTGATTGATTGATTGATAGCACTCTCGCCTCTCAGCAAGAAGGTCCTGGGTTCGAATCCTGGTCGGACCAGGGCCTTTCTGAGTGGAGTTTGCATGTTCTCCCCGTGTCTGCGTAGGTTTCCTCCGTGGTACTCCGGTTTCCCCTACCACTAAAAATATGTCCAATAGTTCTAGCATGTGCCTCCTGTACTGACCCCGCTCCCATCTCTGTGTGGAGTGAGAGACAAATGCCCAAAAAATAACAATTGTAAACCCGCTTTGAGACTCAGATCTGCAGTGAAAAGGCGGTATATAAATGATTACTTACTTACTACTTACTTACTCAACATAAACTCAAATCATGAAAAAAATTTAGCGTTTTGCTTTTTTGATCCAGATGAAAAAAGTTTGGACATCTGCTCTCTCTCTCCTGTCTCTCTTTAGACTTTTCGATCCATACCCACTATGTGTGTGCCTGTGTGTGTGTGTGCCTGTGTGTGTGTGTGTGTGTGTGTGTGTGTGTGTGTGTGTGTGTGTGTGTGTGTGTGTGTGTGTGTGTGTGTGTGCGTGTGTGTGGTTGAGGGGTACCACAAGGGTGCGTGTTTGTCCCATTGATATTCCAACAAGGATCAGTGTAAGTTTGCTGAGTATGTGAAGATGATACACAAGGAGGCGTCTGGGGTGTGGGAGGCTGAGTGAGGGAGGGGTCTGGGGAGGGGGAGGCTCAGTGAGGGAGGCGTCTGGGGAGGGGGAAGCCGGACTCGCGGGGATACACGCCGGCTCATATCTCAGCCTGTTTTATCTGCAGCTGCATCGATCGACCAGAGGAGCAGTAAATCAGCCGCTCGGCATCATGGGAAACACGAGGGGGGGTTTCTCAGAGGGGGGGGGGGGGGGGGGGGGTACGCAGATAAAAGGGGCGGGCTCACGACTGTATAAAGTCTGAGGATGTTAATACAAATCCTCCATGTTTTTATTTGACTTTTCACACTGATGTCAGGAACTCTAATTGTACTTTTAAGAAGACATTCTGAAAAAATCAACTTTTTCTCTGTTCCAACATTGTTCCTCCTCTGGTCTCTCTCTGGTCTCTCACTGGTCTCTCTCTCTGGTCTCTCACTGGTCTCTCTCATGGTCTCTCTCTGGTCTCTCTCTGGTCTCTCACTGGTCTCGCTCTCTGGTCTCTCACTGGTCTCTCTCTCATGGTCTCTCTCATGGTCTCTCTCTGGTCTCTCTCTGGTCTCTCACTGGTCTCTCTCTCTGGTCTCTCACTGGTCTCTCTCATGGTCTCTCTCTGGTCTCTCACTGGTCTCTCTCTCTGGTCTCTCACTGGTCTCTCTCATGGTCTCTCTCTGGTCTCTCTCTGGTCTCTCACTGGTCTCGCTCTCTGGTCTCTCACTGGTCTCTCTCTCATGGTCTCTCTCATGGTCTCTCTCTGGTCTCTCTCTGGTCTCTCACTGGTCTCGCTCTCTGGTCTCTCACTGGTCTCTCTCTCATGGTCTCTCTCATGGTTTCTCTCTGGACTCTCTCTGGTCTCTCTCAACTCTCACTGGTCTCTCTCTGGTCTTGGGTCCTGGGTCTTGTCTCCTGGCTCTTAGGTCTTGGCTCATTGGTCTTTGGTCTTGGGTCTTCGCTCCTGGGTCTTGGGTTCTGGGTCTTGGCTCCTGGGTCTTGGCTCCTGGGTCTTGGGTCTTGGGTTCTGGGTCTTGGCTCCTGGGTCTTGGCTCCTGGGTCTTGGGTCTTGGCTCCTGGGTCTTGGGTTCTGGGTCTTGGCTCCTGGGTCTTGGCTCCTGGGTCTTGGCTCCTGGGTCTTGGGTCTTGGGTTCTGGGTCTTGGCTCCTGCGGGTCTTGGCTCCTGGGTCTTGGCTCCTGGGTCTTGGCTCCTGGGTCTTGGGTTCTGGGTCTTGGCTCCTGGGTTTTGGGTCTTCTCTCAGGTCTTCAGCATCTATTTTCTGACTCTCTCTTCTTCTGCTTCTTCTCCACAGAGGCTCAGTCGGACAGTCCAAACCAAAGCAGCGACTCGGACGTGAAGGACCAGGAGAACGGTGAGGAACTGTGCACATCCAGAGACTGAAAGTTTCACCCATTCCTCTTTACAAGACAGCTCTGTCTGTCAGATTAGACCAGCAGTGCCTCAGACGCTCACAGCTGCTCTCACATTAACCCCGGGTGAATGAGTGAAGTTTCCGCAAAATGTTTTTCTCCATGTTCCACCAACTCTGTCTCTGGTTCGTCACAGACCTGAAGTTGTGTTTAGCTCTGTCCTGGCTCCTCCCCCTCACAGCCTGGCTCCTCCCCCTCACAGAGCAGCTCAGTCAGAGGTGTTGTTACAGGAAACAATGAACAGAGTGCGGTGTAAAAGCTGTGCTCCGTGTGAGGATCGAACTCACGACCTTCAGATTATGAGACTGACGCGCTGCCTACTGCGCTAACGAGGCTGCTGCTATAAGCTAGCACTAGCATGGATTAGCCCATCATTAGAGCTAACACATACAGGCTCCGGGAGGAATAGAGCTAACACATACAGGAAATAGAAGATACATACGGTACATATATAAGAAACTGGGGCCAAAAATTGTGGGTAGCAACAGCCTAGCAACCAAAGAGCCAATCAGGAGCTGCGCTGGTCTGAATTCTGCTCCTAAATGGTCAGTTGTTAAGGCTCATATCTGGATTTATAAAGAAAATATGAAAATATAAACTTCAGGATCACAGAGAGCGATAGACCACAGTGAGGCCCACCAGCTGTGCACATCCAGAGATTGAAAGTTTCACCCATTCCTCAGTCTGTCAGATTAGATCAGCCGTTTGGTCTGGGTCGTTCTTACACTGTCGTATATTTGTCCCATTCACCTCCAATCACTCTTTCCTGGCGCATTTTGCCGGCACAGTCGCTGACATGTTAGCGGAAGTCGCCTGGAACTCACAAAGATTTATGGGAAACTCGCCCGTATTTGGGCATCGTCTGGTCCTCCCGGTTCTGTGCAGTGGATGATCTCCCATAATGCATTGCGCCAAACACGCGTGTGTGGGTCTCACACCGGGTCTCACGCACGTGCACAGAGGGGCTCGGCTCTGACCAATCAGAGCAGTTCATCAGAGCGGGAGTTAGAGCGAGAGCCAGACGAGCAGAGTTTGTGGCACTAAAGTGTGGATTCAAAGAAAAAAACGAAGGATTTAAGAAGAAAAAAAATACAGGATGATAAAGGACAATAAACCCCCCACAAAATCCGACCTTTATGAAAGCTGTAGGTTCTCTGTCAGCTGAGGTCGAGCTGTTATAGTTTGCATTGAGTTCTATGGGGAAAATTTCTGGGTAGCCCACGTGAATTTAGTCTGGTTCAGTCTGCAGTACCGCGAGAATCCCCTGAGCACATGAGTTATTCAGCTACAAGCTAGTACTGGCTGTATGCACGGGGAGGCGTGACGTCATTTACTGTTAACAAGGATCAGCCCGTTCACTTCCTGTCTGTGCTGTCCTGTGGCTTTTAGGTGGGTTTAAGTGATGTTTTTTAGTAATTAGATCGATACATTCAGCTGAGACTGACCCAAAAGTGTGGCTGTGCTTTCTCTCTGAGGTAGAGCTGTGACTGTGGCCACTCAGAGAGATTTTTAAACTTTATAAAAACACAATGACAGCACAATCAAAGAGCACTGCTGTGTCCCACAAATTCCCAGTCTCCTCACAGTTTAATTCCCGTTTGAGCATTATTTAGGAAACTCGTGTAAACCGCTGCTGAACTCCAGTGAAACTCAAGCCGTTCCCCGCGCACAGGAAGTGAAGTGGAGTTGTAGCTAAAACGCGGAAGTGGTGCATGGAGCCCATACCCTATCCAGTTATTATAATAGACCCATGGTTGTTACAGGAAACAATGAACAGAGTGCGGTGTAAAAGCTGTGCCCCGTGTGAGGATCGAACTCACGACCTTCAGATTATGAGACTGACGCGCTGCCTACTGCGCTAACGAGGCTGATGCTATAAGCTAGCACTAGCATGTATTAGCCCATCATTAGAGCTAACACATACAGGCTCCGGGAGGAATAGAGCTAACACATACAGGAAATAGAAGATACATACGGTACATATAAAAGAAACTGGGGCCGAAAATTGTGGGTAGCAACAGCCTAGCAACCAAAGAGCCAATCAGGAGCTGCGCTGGTCTGAATTCTGCTCCTAAATGGTCAGTTGTTAAGGCTCATATCTGGATTTATAAAGAAAATATGAAAATATAATCTTCAGGATCACAGAGAGCGATAGACCACAGTGAGGCCCACCAGCTGTGCACATCCAGAGACTGAAAGTTTCACCCATTCCTCTTTACAAGACAGCTCTCCGTCTGTCAAATTAGACCAGCCGTTTGGTCTGGGTCGAGTCTGTGTTAGCATTAGCATCTTTATACAGTCTGTGTTAGCATTGTCCATCTGTATACAGTCTGTGTTAGCATTGTCCATCTGTATACAGTCTGTGTTAGCATTAGCATCTGTATACAGTCTGTGTTAGCATTGTCCATCTATATACAGTTTGCTGATCTGCTGTGTCTCTGCAGGGCATCTGGGCTTCCAGGACAGCTTCGTGACTCCGGGGGTTTTCACGGTGGCAGAACTTGTTCGCGTCTCTCAGAGTAAGTGGAGCTACGCCACAGTTTTAAGCACTTCATAAAGACACAGAGATTTATGGTCATAGAAGCAGACAGTGAGATGCTAATGTGGCTAACTCAGGCGAGCTCCCATTGGCGTCCATCCTAACGATTTACACAGATTTACCCAGTCCCAACCCTACAACTTTAAAGCTGGGGTACATAACTTTCAGGCCGTTAAAACTCTCACAGCGATCTTACTTTAAAAAAAAATCACAACATTGTACTTTTACTCTCTCTGTTCAAACCACATGTATTGTTTTTGATGCTAATGCTACGTATCTTTGCTCTAACCTAATTAAACAAACCTGATGGATTAGACCAGGACTGGACCAGGACTGGACCAGGTCTTTCTGAGGACACTGGACCCTGACTCAGCGCTGTCTGTAAAGTGACTGCAGGACTCATTAGTTGGAGTGGAGACATGGGCGATCGAGAGGAGGGGGAGAGAGAGAGACATAGCAGGCGATTGAGAGGAAAGAGAGAGAGGGGGGGGGGGGTGATCGAGTGGAGGGGGAGAGAGAGGGACAGGGGGCGATCGAGAGGAGGGGGAGAGAGAGGGACAGGGGGCGATCGAGAGGAGGGGGAGAGAGAGGGAGGGGGGTGTGACCTTTACAAAGTGCTGACTCCGGATCATAGACTAATATCAGGAACTTCTGCCTCAATCTGCCGCCTCCCCCCTCTCTCCCCCGTCTCTCCCCGTTGCTACAGAGGTCTCCCATCACAGCGCTAACCAGGCTCTGCCCCGCTTAGCTTCAGGACCTGGCTCTCTCCTGCAGAGTTTGAGAGCAGAGCGTTTGGACAGAAGGGGCGGGGGGACAGTCCGGAACAAAACTAGAACAAGGAGGAAAAAGAGAGAGAGAGATTTGGACTTTTTACGACTTCACGTGCACACTCCTCTCTCACGTGCACGCTCCTCTCTCATGTGCACGCTCCTCTCACGTGCACAGCTCTCTCGTGCACGCCCCTCTCGTGCACACCCCTCACTCCCGCAGTACAATGGAGCAGTGACCTTGGTCCAGACTTTAGACCAATGGAAAAGCTGTCGATCAATATCCTATTACAGAGAGAGACCAGGATCAGACCAGGACCAGGACCAGGACTGAACCAGGACCAGACCCGGGACCAGGACCAAGGACCAGGAACAGACCCTCGAGTTCAACCCCTGACCCTGGGCCAGGACTAAGGACCAGGATCAGACCAAGTACTAGGGCCAGATCCAAGACCAGGAACACGGACCAAAAGAAGGAGCAGGACAAGACCCAGGACCAGGACCAGACTATGGACCAGGACTAAACCCTGGACTAGACCCAGAACTAAGACCAGACCCAGGACCAAATTTAGGGCATGGGCCAGGATTAAACAAGGACCAGGACTAGGTTTGAACAACACAGGGCCAGGACCACACCTGGACCAGATCAAACCCAGACCTAGGACCAGTACCAGGGCCAGGACCAGATCCAGGATAAGACCCGGACCAAGACCTAGGACAGGATCAGGACTGAACCAGGTCTAAACCAGCACTTTACCAGGTCTGAACCAGGACTGGTGTAAAAGTCAGAAATAGAAAATGCAGAGGTTTGAGCTTCTCTCAGTTTGAGCCTGAGGCCAAAATTCGGATCAAACTCCAGATTTTCCTCCTGTCGCTACGGGCAACAACAAGTCTCGTGCACCAAACTCATGTGCACTGCCCTCTCGTGCACGCTCCTGAGTCCTGGACCAGTGCCAGCGCCATCTGGGCTCAGATCAGCAACAGACCTCCTAAACAACACAACAACAAAACCTTGTTTTAGTCCTGCTTTAGACCTGCTTTAGACCTGCTTGAGTCCTGGTTTAGTCCTGCTTTTAGTTCTGCTTTAGTCCTGCTTTAGTCCTGCTTTTAGTCCTGCTTTAGTCCTGCTTTTAGTCCTGCTTTAGTCCTGCTTTAGTCCTGCTTTTAGTCCTGCTTTAGTCCTGCTTTAGTCCTGCTTTTAGTCCTTCTTTAGTCCTGCGTTAGACCTGCTTTAGACCTGCTTTAGACCCGGTTTAGTCCTGCTTTTGTCCTGCTTTAGACCTGCTTTAGTCCTGCTTTAGTCCTGCTTTAGACCTGCTTTAGTCCTGCTTTAGACCTGCTTTAGTCCTGCTTTAGACCTGCTTTAGACCTGTTTTAGTCAAGCTTTAGACCTGTTTTAGTCCTGCTTTAGACCATAGTCCTGCTTTAGACCTGCTTTAGTCCTGCTTTAGTCCTGCTTTAGACCTGCTTTAGACCTGATTTAGTCCTGCTTTAGACCTGCTTTAGACCTGATTTAGTCCTGCTTTGGACCTGCTTTAGACCTGATTTAGTCCTGCTTTAGACCTGCTTTAGACCTGATTTAGTCCTGCTTTAGACCTGCTTTAGACCTGATTTAGTCCTGCTTTAGACCTGCTTTAGTCCTGCTTTAGTCCTGCTTTAGACCTGCTTTAGTCCTGCTTTAGACCTGCTTTAGTCCTGCTTTAGACCTGCTTTAGACCTGTTTTAGTCCCGCTTTAGACCTGCTTTAGACCTGCTTTAGTCCCGCTTTAGACCTGCTTTAGACCTGATTTAATCCTGCTTTAGACCTAATTTAGACCTGATTTAGTCCTGCTTTAGACCTGCTTTAGACCTGATTTAGTCCTGCTTTAGACCTGCTTTAGACCTGTTTTAGTCCTGCTTTAGACCTGGATAAGATGCATGTATTTTTGTCTCACATCTTTAGATCAGATTTTTCAGACAGAAAAGTGACAAAGAGGCCACCCTCTCTCAGCCAATCAGCTCTCAGCCAATCAGCTCTCAGCCAATCAGCTCTCAGCCAATCAGCTCTCAGCCAATCAGCTCTCAGCCAATCAGCTCTCAGCCCAAAGAGTCCAATAGTGACTCACAGTGACTCTTTTGCGTTGGACAAACTAAACATGTGTTATTGATGAGACTAAGGTTACAGACCTGAGCTTTAACCATGTGTTGTATCTGATATCAAACTTACGTCCCTGAGCTTTAATCCTCAGCTCCCATCGCCGCTGGGTCGGGGCCAAACTTCTCTCTCTCGGACCTGGACAGTTCCTCGTACTACAGCATGAGTCCAGGAGCCATGAGGAGACCACTGCCCAGTACTTCATCCAGGTGTGTGTGTGTGTGTCTGTGTGTGTGTGTCTGTGTGTGTGTATCACTGTGTGTGTATGTGTGTGTGTCACTGTGTGTGTGTGTGTGTCTGCCATGAGGAGACCACTGCCCAGTACTTCATCCAGGTGTGACCACTGCAAAGGGAACAACACACAGCCCTCTGCCCACACCTCCCACTGCTATGTGTGTGTGTCTGTGTGTGTCTGTGAGTGTGTCCCTTACATGTGTGTGTGTGTGTGTGCAGTGTTTATGTGTGTAATGTGTTTGTCTCTCTGCATGTGTGTCCCTCAGTGTGTATGTATTGTGTGTATATGTGTAATGTGTGTGCATGTGTGGGAACTGTGTGTGTGTGTGTTGTGTGTTTTTGTGTAACTTGTGTGTGTGTCCAGTGTGTGTGTTTGTATGTATTGTGTGTATATTGTGTACGTGCGTATATTATGTGTATTGTGTGTGTGTCTGTGTGTGTAACTTGTGTGTGTGTGTGTATTGTGTGTAACGTATGTATGTGTAACTTATGTGTGTGTAACTTGTGTGTGTGTGTATTGTGTGTAACGTGTGTGTGTGTGTTGCAGTTCTGCGAAGAGGATAAAGTGCCTGGAGGAGGAGGTGGACAGTCCTGGGGAAGAGTCGTACTACAGTCAGGGACGCTCTCCAGGCAGCAGCAGCTGGCACGACGTGGAGCCAGGTACTACTACTACTACTGCGAGTACTACCGCGAGTACTACTACTACTACTACTGCGAGTACTACCGCGAGTACTACTACTACTACTACTGCGAGTACTACCGCGAGTACTACTACTACTGATACTGCTACTATTATATATACTACTACTGGAACTGAACTGTTCTACTGCATGTTGTAATACTGTGTGTTCGACTAGTTCTGACATTTCTACTACTACTGATACTAATACTACTACTACTACTGCATGTAATTCTGCTGCAAGTACTACTACTACTACTGCGTGTACTACTGCATACTCTGTGCCTCAGACGCTCACAGCTGCTCTCACATTAACCCCGGGTGAATGAGTGAAGTTTCCGCAAAATGTTTTTCTCCATGTTCCACCAACTCTGTCTCTGGTTCGTCACAGACCTGAAGTTGTGTTTAGCTCTGTCCTGGCTCCTCCCCCTCACAGCCTGGCTCCTCCCCCTCACAGAGCAGCTCAGTCAGAGGTGTTGTTACAGGAAACAATGAACAGAGTGCGGTGTAAAAGCTGTGCTCCGTGTGAGGATCGAACTCACGACCTTCAGATTATGAGACTGACGCGCTGCCTACTGCGCTAACGAGGCTGCTGCTATAAGCTAGCACTAGCATGGATTAGCCCATCATTAGAGCTAACACATACAGGCTCCGGGAGGAATAGAGCTAACACATACAGGAAATAGAAGATACATACGGTACATATATAAGAAACTGGGGCCAAAAATTGTGGGTAGCAACAGCCTAGCAACCAAAGAGCCAATCAGGAGCTGCGCTGGTCTGAATTCTGCTCCTAAATGGTCAGTTGTTAAGGCTCATATCTGGATTTATAAAGAAAATATGAAAATATAATCTTCAGGATCACAGAGAGCAATAAATTGTTAGTCAAATGTAGCCAGAGCGAGTCTCAGGAGATATCATTGTGCAACAAGTTTGAAAAGAGAGCGTTTAGACAGAAGGGGCGGGGTAAGTGCCTGATGTTAGTGTGGATGGAGCTAAACACAACTGCAGGTCTGTGATGAGGAGGAATGAGAGAGAGCATTTTGTGTGTGTGTGTCTGTGTGTATGTCTCCGTGTGTGAGTATCTCTGTCTGTATGTGTCTGTATACTGTATGTGTGTGTATGTGTGTGTGCGAACGTGTGTATTTGTGACTGTGTGTATGTGTCTGTGTGTGTGTGTGTGTGTGCGTATATCTGTAAATATGTGAATCTCTCTGTGTGTTTGTGTATGTTTGTATCTGTATGTACTGTATGTGTGTGTGCGTCTGTCTGTATCTCTCTGTGTGTGTATGCGTGAGTTTGTATCTGTCTGTGTGTTTGTGTGTGTGCGTGCGTGTATCTGTATGTGTCTGTATCTGTGTGTGCGTGTGTGTATCTGTATATGTGTGTGCATGTGTATCTGTATGTGTGTGTCTCTTTGTATTTGTGTGCGTGTGTATCTGTGTGTGTGTGTGTGTTCGTGTATATGTGTGTGTGCATCGGTGTGTGTGTGTATCTGTATGTGTGAGTGTGTGTGTATCTGTCTGTGCGCGTGTGTGTGTGTATTTGTGGGTGTGTGTATCTATGTGTATGTGTGTGTGTGTTTGCATGTGTGTGTGTGTGTGTGTATATGTGTGTGTGCGTGTATGTGTGTGTGTGTGAGTGTATGTGTGTGTGTATCTGTGTGTATTTGTCTGTGTATCTATGTGTATGTGTGTGTGTGTTTGCGTGTGTATGTGTGTGTGTGTGTGCATCTGTGTGTGTGTGTGTGTGTGTATCTGTGTGTGTGTGTATCTGTATGTGTGTGTGTGTGTGTGTATCTGTGTGTGTATCTGTGTGTATGTGTGTGTGTTTGCGTGTGTATGTGTGTGTGTGTGTGTGCATCGGTGTGTGTGTATCTGTGTGTGTGTATCTGTATGTGTGTGTGTGTGTGTATCTGCGTGTGTTTGTGTGTGTATCTGTGTGTATGTGTGTGTGTGTGTGTGTGTATTAACTCGCTCCTGCTCTTTTTCTTTCTCATGTCTTTGTTGATTTGAAGCTGGATATAAACTCCGCGGCTCTTTAACTAGCTCCTTCATCTCTCGACAAGGTAACATCTGCCCCTCCTCTCTAACCTACCACCCCCATCTACAAACATTTGCCCCTCCTCTCTAACCTACCACCCCCATTCATATCTGCCATTCACCCGCACCCACATGTAAGAGACTACCTTCTCTCTACGCCCATATATGGTTCTGTAGCTTCCTGGTCCAGCCACAGAGACACCAGCAGAGCCATGCCCTTCAGGAGGACTAGTGGTCACACAGAGGTACTGCCGCCTTGTTTTAGGCAGCTCTATGTTGCTAATCGCTCTATTCTCGTTATCTTTAGCATAACAAAGAATTGCTGGGTTGCACCTGACGTCACGCCGCAGTGAGAAAGTGCTCCAAGGGACAGGAAGTAAATCTCCCCGTTAAGAACAATGCAATGTAATGTAATTTTGAGTCAAAATGCTCTTTTTTCCGTGGCGTGTACAGTTGTGGCAACTGCTCATATCAAGTGGGGAACTTATGGAGTCTCTATTTTGCACACAAAAAAAATTCTCTAACGGGTGTCAATTTTTAGGAAAATACCTTACAACGAAAGGAAAAAAGGTGTTAGCATTAGCCTGCTTAGCATCCGCGGCCGCAGACACAGCAGACAGTCCCCATTGTTCGTTGTACAGTCTAACAGCAGCAGGAGACCTCTCCTTCACTCGGTTATGCCAAATATGCATTTTTAACGGACATGGACATCATCGCTCCAGTTGGAACCAATGGGAGCTGTCCTCTTTAACCTGTGGGTCTCCAGGTCTGTAGTTCTGTCTGAGGGTAATGGCAACACACTAAGTCTTTAGACCCTGAGACCATGGAGAGAGACCAGAGAGAGAGACCAGAGAGAGAGACCAGAGAGAGACCAGCGAGAGAGACCAGAGGGAGAACAGAGAGAGAGACCAGAGAGAGACCAGAGAGAGAGACCAGAGGGAGACCAGAGAGAGAGACCAGAGGGAGAACAGAGAGAGAGACCAGAGAGAGACCATGGAGAGAGACCAGAGAGAGACCAGAGAGAGAGGACAGAGAGAGACCATGGAGAGAGACCAGAGAGCGAGAGAAAGAAAGCCAAAAAAGAGAGAAACCAGAGAGCGACAGAGAGAAACACCAAACGTTTTCTTCTGACTTCAAACAAAAGTAACTGTCGCACTGTAGCAGTAGGTGTTGCTCAGATAAAGGGGCGTGGCTCTGTAACAGTGGGCGTGGCTGGACCTCCTCTGCACCTGCATGCTTCTGTGAGCGTCTGTCCCTGTGAGTCTCAATGTGACTAAAGGGTCTGAAAAGGGGTGGAGTCAGACCTGCTGCTCTTAAGACGTGTTTAAAGGAGACGATTCTGAAAAATGTTCCTCTCCATGTTCTGACACTGTTCCTCCTCACAAACAGAGCTGTAGATTGAGCTCCAGAACGCTCTGTGCTGAATCTTCCCGTCTGTGACATCACAGACAGAGCTTTCTCTTTACACACAACTGTTTTCAACTGTTTCCCTCGAGGGCTGTAGTTCCCACTGACACCAGGAGATGGAGACAGAGGGTCCCAGTCTTTCATAACACACCTTTTCTACACAGGTGCTTTTTGAACCACCTTTAAAGTTATATACCACAGCTTTAAAGTTACATACCCAAGCTTTAATGTTACATACCCCAGCTTTAAAGTTACATACCCCAGCTTTAAAGTTACATATCCCCAGCTTTAAAGTCACATACTCCAGCTTTAAAGTTACGTACCCTGACTTTAAAAATGTGCGAGGGAGATAGTTGTAACGTTGTGTTTGACCTCCGTTGATTGACAGCTACAGTGTTCTATACCAGTCATTGCAGATTTGCATATGCCCCGCCCTTTTTAATCCACTTTGAAGCCTCGGCTCCGCCCCCTCCTCCCTCTGAAGTCATCCGTCAGCAAATGTGAGCATTACAGCGGGTCTACCCCGAGCTCCTCCTCCTCTCTCAGTCACACTGCAGAGGAACCTCCATCTTGACTGAGAGCAGAGCTCTGACTGCAGACGCTGCTCCAGGTTCAGTCCTGGTTTATTCCTGGTTCAGACCAAATAGCGCTAAAAAATGTCACGCGACAGATGATGAGGAACAGTGTTGGGAAAAAACATGTTTATATGTGTTCTGTGTTGACTCTCTGGTCCCTCTCTGGTCCCTCTCTGGTCTCTCTCTGGTCTCTCTCTGGTCTCTCTCTGGTCCCTCTCTGGTCCCTCTCTGGTCCCTCTCTGGTCTCTCTCTGGTCCCTCTCTGGTCCCTCTCTGGTCCCTCTCTGGTCCCTCTCTGGTCCCTCTCTGGTCCCTCTCTGGTCCCTCTCTGGTCTCTCTCTGGTCTCTCTCTGGTCTCTCTCTGGTCCCTCTCTGGTCCCTCTCTGGTCCCTCTCTGGTCCCTCTCTGGTCTCTCTCTGGTCCCTCTCTGGTCTCTCTCTGGTCCCTCTCTGGTCCCTCTCTGGTCTCTCTCTGGTCCCTCTCTGGTCTCTCTCTGGTCTCTGTGTCCTGTCTTACCAGTTGTGTGCTCTGCAGCCAGCCCACATGCGCCCTCTGGTGGCCTTCACTTCTCGTCGTCTCCCATCCTGCAGCAGCCGGCCTCGTACTTCACTCACCCCGCCATCCGCTACCACCCACAGGACTCTCTCAAGGAGTTTGTACAACTGGTGTGTCCAGACGGGGGCGCTACACACGTGAGTCCAGAGAGAGAGACCAGAGAGAGACCAGAGAGAGACCAGAGAGAGACCAGAGAGAGACCAGAGAGAGACCAGAGAGAGACCAGAGAGAGACCCGAGAGAGACCAGAGAGACCAGAGAGAGACCAGAGAGAGACCAGAGAGAGAGACCAGAGAGAGAGACCAGAGAGAGACCAGAGAGAGACCAGTAAGAGACCAGAGAGAGACCAGAGAGAGACCAGTAAGAGACCAGAGAGAGACTCGAGGGAATCACATTATAATGGACTATGTCTCATCCATGTGGAGAAATATAGACACTTTCCAACATGTTTAACAAGAGCAAGTTTATTCCTGGTTCAGTCCTGGTTCAGTCCTGGTTCAGTCCTGGTTCAGTCCTGGTTCACTCCTGGTTCAGTCCTGGTTCAGTCCTGGTTCAGTCCTGGTTCAGTCCTGGTTCAGTCGTGGTCTGCAGTGCAGTGATAGTTGATATATCTGAGTCTAGACTCTGGATCGATTTGAGACCACATTTCACACACACATAGAGGCACACACACACACACACACACACACACACACACACACACACACATCACCTCGCCTGAACCAAAAAGATGTCATAATAATTGTTTTGGTCAGAAAAATCAGTTCAATTTTTTTATATTTCAAGTGGAAATGGTCTTGTCCCCTAAAGCTGCTGTCCGTAACTTTAAAGCTGCTGTCCGTAACTTTAAAGCTGCTGTCCATAACTTTAAAGCTGCTGTCCGTAACTTTAAAGCTGCTGTCTGTAACTTTAAAGCTGGGGTCTGTAACTTTAAAGCGGCTGTCCGTAACTTTAAAGCTGGGGTCTGTGACTTTAAAGCTGCTGCCTGTAACTTTAAAGCTGGGGTCTGTAACTTTCAGAGAATGGATAAAGGAGAAACTGCATGTGCATGTGTTTTTACTAAAGTTACATGCCCCAGCTTTAGATTGCATGACTTTCTTGTTTTAAGACTCCTAAAACAGAAAGATAGGGGCGTGCACGTGAGAGGGGCGTGCACATGAGATGAACGTGCATGTGAAAAGGGCGTGCACGTGAGAAGAGGGTATTATACTTGTAGATTAGAAGATAAAATGCAAACGGCAGCAGAATTCTTTATGACCGACTCCAGATAGTGCTGACACCACACACACACACACACACACACACACACACACACACATACGCACACGCATACACACACACACACAGGCACTGATACACACACACACACACAGACGCATACACACATACCCACAGACACGTGCACAAAGAGAGAGAGACCAGGGAGCGACCCGAGAGTGAGAGACCAGAGAGATAGAGACAGACAGATCAGAGAGAGAGAGAGAGAGACCAGAGAGAGAGAGAGAGAGGGAGACCAGAGTTAATGGGAGAGAGGTGTAGGGTCAGAGAGTGTTTGTGCCTGTGTGTGTGTCTCTGTGTGTGTGTGGGTGTGTGTCTCTGTGGGTGTGTGTCTCTGTGTGTGTGTGGGTGTGTGTCTCTGTGTGTGCGTGTGTGAGTGAGACCTGTCTCTGGTGACCACATGTCTCACTCTTCTTCTTGTCTTCAGTCCAACAGTCCGTCCAAGGTCCACAACCCGTTCTTACCGACGCCCATGCTGCCCCCCCCTCCGCCGCCCCCCATGGCCCGCCCCGTGCCCCTCCCCCTGGACAGTAAACCCTCCGCCACCACCTCGAGTGAGGGAGGGACATCCCCCAGCTCGCCCAGTGAGTACTACACACACACACACACACACACACACACACACTTATCTGACCCGGATCATAAGTCTCCATCCCCTCAATATTGTGGTCTCTCTGGTCTCTCTCTGGTCTCTCTCTGGTCTCTCTGGTCTCTCTGGTCTCTCTGGTCTCTCTGGTCTCTCTGGTCTCTCTGGTCTCTCTGGTCTCTCGCTGGTCTCTCGCTGGTCTCTCTGGTCTCTCTGGTCTCTCTGGTCTCTCTGGTCTCTCTGGTCTCTCGCTGGTCTCTCTCCGGTCTCTCTACCGTCTTAGCAACACAATCCCTGTTTCAGCACTACACTAACACAGCCAAAACAAATGCCCATATAAGGTCATAGACAGATAGATACTTTATGGATCCCAGTATGAGAAATTCAGGTGTCCAGCAGCAGAAGACTCATCCAGGTTTGTTGTACAGTCTGACAGCTGAACAAAGCACCTCTTGAAACGTTCCGTTCGGCAGCGCAGTGAAAGGAGCCTGTTGCTACGGTTACTCCTCTGAGCGGCCATAGTGTCCTGCAGAGGGTGTCATGCAGAGGGTGTCATGCAGAGGGTGTCATACAGAGGGTGTCATACAGAGGGTGTCATACAGAGGGAGTCATGCAGAGGGTGTCATACAGAGGGTGTCATGCAGAGGGTGTCATGCAGAGGGTGTCATGCAGAGGGTGTCATGCAGAGGGTGTCATACAGAGGGAGTCATGCAGAGGGTGTCATGCAGAGGGTGTCATGCAGAGGGTGTCATACAGAGGGAGTCATGCAGAGGGTGTCATGCAGAGGGTGTCATGCAGAGGGTGTCATACAGAGGGAGTCATGCAGAGGGTGTCATACAGAGGGTGTCATACAGAGGGAGTCATGCAGAGGGTGTCATACAGAGGGTGTCATGCAGAGGGTGTCATGCAGAGGGTGTCATGCAGAGGGTGTCATACAGAGGGTGTCATACAGAGGGAGTCATGCAGAGGGTGTCATACAGAGGGAGTCATGCAGAGGGTGTCATGCAGAGGGTGTCATGCAGAGGGTGTCATGCAGAGGGTGTCATACAGAGGGAGTCATGCAGAGGGTGTCATGCAGAGGGTGTCATGCAGAGGGTGTCATACAGAGGGAGTCATGCAGAGGGTGTCATGCAGAGGGTGTCATGCAGAGGGTGTCATGCAGAGGGTGTCATGCAGAGGGTGTCATGCAGAGGGAGTCATGCAGAGGGTGTCATGCAGAGGGTGTCATGCAGAGGGTGTCATGCAGAGGGTGTCATGCAGAGGGTGTCATACAGAGGGTGTCATGCAGAGGGTGTCATGCAGAGGGTGTCATGCAGAGGGTGTCATGCAGAGGGTGTCATGCAGAGGGTGTCATACAGAGGGAGTCATGCAGAGGGTGTCATGCAGAGGGTGTCATGCAGAGGGTGTCATACAGAGGGAGTCATGCAGAGGGTGTCATGCAGAGGGTGTCATGCAGAGGGTGTCATGCAGAGGGTGTCATGCAGAGGGTGTCATGCAGAGGGTGTCATGCAGAGGGTGTCATGCAGAGGGAGTCATGCAGAGGGTGTCATGCAGAGGGAGTCATGCAGAGGGTGTCATGCAGAGGGAGTCATGCAGAGGGTGTCATGCAGAGGGTGTCATGCAGAGGGTGTCATGCAGAGGGTGTCATGCAGAGGGTGTCATGCAGAGGGTGTCATACAGAGGGAGTTATACAGAGGGTGTCATGCAGAGGGTGTCATGCAGAGGGTGTCATACAGAGGGAGTTATACAGAGGGTGTCTGGAGTTACCCAGGATGCCCTGCATTAGAGCCCCTTCTCTCCAGCACAGCTCCCACAGAGTCCACACATCTCCCCATCACAGAGACACATTTCCTGATCTGTCGAGCCGGTTACTGTCTCTGAGGTCAGACTGCCCCCAATGCGTGACCCCAAAGAACACGTGTCCCCAAAGAACACGTGACCCCAAAGAACACATGACCCCAAAGAACACGTGACCCCAAAGAACACGGCACTAGCTTCCACAGACTGGTAAAATATGTGCAACATCTACTCTGTAAGAGTCTGCTCTGACCTTTCTTGTAGATGGCATTGGCCTGAGATGACCAGTCCAGTCTGTGGTCCAGGTGGACTCCCAGTCCAGTCTGTGGTCCAGGTGGACTCCCAGTCCAGTCTGTGGTCCAGGTGGACTCCCAGTCCAGTCTGTGGTCCAGGTGGACTCCCAGTCCAGTCTGTGGTCCAGGTGGACTCCCAGTCCAGTCTGTGGTCCAGGACATAACCTGACCTAACCTGGCCTAATCCACACACATCCAGGAGGGACACAGATATTAGCTTCAGCTAGCTTATGCTCAAATCAGCTTCTTCTGCATCGAGGCTAACGCTGTGGTGATGTCACACTCTGTGGTGATGTCACACTCTGTGGTGATGTCACACTCTGTGGTGATGTCACACTCTGTGGTGATGTCACACTCTGTGGCCTCTCTGTGGTCCGACAGTAACTCAATCATTTCATAATTTATCGATCGCACTTCAGAATCTGCCTCATCTCGTTACAACACATGTTTAAAGCTCAGGTCTGTAACTTTAGTCTAAATAACACATGTTTAAAGCTCAGGTCTGTAACTTTAGTCTAAATAACACATGTTTAAAGCTCAGGTCTGTAACTTTAGTCTAGATAACACATGTTTAAAGCTCAGGTCTGTAACTTTAGTCTCATCAATAACACTGTAGTTAAATGTGTTGCAGCGTACTCCACCCCGAGCACGTCACCGGCTCAGAGGTTTGTGAGTGTGGGCCCCAGAGACCCAGGCTTCAACCTCCCACAGCAGCCACAGGTAAGACTACTGCTACTACTACTGCTGCTACTACTACTACTGCTACTGCTGCTACTACTACTGCTACTACTACTGCTACTGCTACTATTACTACTGCTACTGCTACTACTGCTACTGCTGCTACTACTACTGCTGCTGTTGCTACTGCTGCTGCTACTGCTACTGCTGCTGCTACTGCTACTGCTACTGCTACTGCTACTGCTGCTGCTACTGCTACTACTGCTGCTGCTACTACTACTGCTACTACTGCTACTGCTACTGCTACTACTGCTACTGCTACTGCTACTACTGCTACTACTACTGCTGCTACTGCTACTACTGATACTGCTACTACTACTGCTGCTGCTGCTACTACTGCTACTGCTACTACTGCTACTACTGCTACTACTACTGCTGCTGCTGCTACTACTGCTACTACTACTGCTACTGCTACTACTACTGCTGCTGCTGCTACTACTGCTACTGCTACTACTACTGCTACTGCTACTACTACTGCTGCTACTGCTACTACTGCTACTACTACTACTACTGCTTCTGCTGCTACTACTGCTACTGCTACTACTGCTACTGCTACTGCTACTGCTGCTACTGCTACTACTGCTACTGCTACTGCTACTACTACTGCTGCTACTACTGCTACTGCTACTACTACTGCTACTGCTACTACTACTGCTGCTACTGCTACTACTGCTACTGCTACTACTACTGCTGCTGCTGCTACTACTGCTACTGCTACTACTACTGCTACTGCTACTACTGCTACTACTACTGCTGCTACTGCTACTACTGCTACTGCTACTACTACTGCTGCTGCTGCTACTACTGCTACTGCTACTACTACTGCTACTGCTACTACTACTGCTGCTGCTGCTGCTACTGCTACTGCTACTACTACTACTACTGCTGCTGCTGCTACTACTGCTACTGTTACTACTGCTACTGCTGCTACTACTGCTACTACTACTACTACTGCTGCTACTACTGCTACTGCTACTACTGCCACTGCTACTGCTACTGCTACTGCTACTGCTACTACTACTACTGCTGCTACTACTGCTACTACTACTACTGCTACTACTACTGCTACTGCTGCTGTGTTACTACAATATTACCGTCTCTGGATTGCAAAATTGCATAACTTTGAAAAATAACTAATGCGTGACTTTCCCCAAATGTATAAAAACAAACTAAATGTAGCTTTTGAGGCTAAAGGTAAATAAATAAATATATAATTGTTCAAATGTAACGTTACAGATCTTTGGAACCGAACATTACTGCGTCACACGTTTCATACGATTTTTACACCCCAGTTTAAGTGCACTGAGGCAGATCCGGTCTCTCTCTGGTCTCCCTCTGGTCTCTCTCTGGTCTCTCTCTGGTCTCCCTCTGGTCTCTCTCTGGTCTCCTTCTGGTCTCCCTCTGGTCTCTCTCTGGTCTCCTTCTGGTCTCTCACTGGTCTCTCTCTGGTCTCCCTCTGGTCTCTCTCTGGTCTCTCTCTGGTCTCTCTCTGGTCTCCCTCTGGTCTCTCTCTGGTCTCCCTCTGGTCTCTCTCTGGTCTCCCTCTGGTCTCCCTCTGGTCCCTCTCTGGTCTCCTTCTGGTCTCTCACTGGTCTCTCTCTGGTCTCTCTCTGGTCTCCCTCTGGTCTCTCTCTGGTCTCCCTCTGGTCTCCCTCTGGTCCCTCTCTGGTCTCCTTCTGGTCTCTCACTGGTCTCTCTCTGGTCTCCTTCTGGTCTCTCACTGGTCTCTCTCTGGTCTCCCTCTGGTCTCTCTCTGGTCTCTCACTGGTCTCTCTCTGGTCTCCTTCTGGTCTCTCACTGGTCTCTCTCTGGTCTCCCTCTGGTCTCTCTCTGGTCTCCCTCTGGTCTCTCTCTGGTCTCCTTCTGGTCTCTCACTGGTCTCTCTCTGGTCTCTCTCTGGTCTCCTTCTGGTCTCTCTCTGGTCTCCTTCTGGTCTCTCACTGGTCTCTCTCTGGTCTCCCTCTGGTCTCTCTCTGGTCTCCCTCTGGTCTCTCTCTGGTCTCCCTCTGATCTCTCTCTGGTCTCCCTCTGGTCTCTCTCTGGTCTCTCTCTGGTCTCTCTCTGGTCTCACTCTGGTCTTTCCTCTGGGAGCAGCAGTCCTCAAGGTGAACCCCACACGAGCGATAATAAAACACTGCGATGACTCACAGTGTCTGCGAGTGGAGCTGAGTCAGCAGCACACACACAGAGAGACACACACACACACACACACAGAGACACACACACACAGAGAGACACACACACACACACACACAGAGACACACACACACACAGAGAGACACACACACATAGAGACACACACACACACAGAGAGAGACACACACACACACACGCAGAGACACACACACAGAGACAGACACACACAGAGAGACACACACACACACACAGAGAGTCACACACAGAGACACACACACACTCAGAGAGACACACACACACACACACATACACGTTTTTGTTACCTGGTGGGTCCCTTTGACAGGGCCGTTCAGAATGGGACCCATAGACATAATCTTTTTTTACCAAGACTTTAAGTAATACAAAACAGTCAATAGAAAACAAACAACTATTTTAAAGGAATTTTATTTTAGATTTTGTTTTCGAATTGCAGTGATTCTATTTTTGACATAGAATTTAATGCCACTCCATGTCCGATGTCTAAGGTCATCTGGTGAGGCATTAATGCAGGCCAGGCAGTGAGACTTCCCAGGGACCTTTCCAGTCTGTATGAAAGGTGTCATGGTCTTCTCCACAGCCTTCACCTCAGATGCAGACCATGGCTTTCTTACACGTTCTAGGGAGAGAAATAAAAATATATTAGCAATATACACTCCCAGGGTTAGGACCAAGCAGCCTGGCTGTAATCCCCCACCTGGTACACTTACCAGAAGGGGCACTGCCACTACCATGGGGTGCATCTGGATGAATGGTTGAAGGTTCTCCGCTTGAAGTTTCTTTTAGCCCGTCCGTTTGTGAGAGGATCTCTACTGCTCTCCCTGTCGCACAGAAAATAAAAATACAAGTGGCCTTTAGGGGAAAAAAATCATACATATTTTAATAATATCAAGAATTACCTTCAGGCTCAATTTGTATCTGGTCGAGGCTCTTTCCTTCGAATTCCGTCACTCTTCCCTGCTCCATGGCCATCAACACTTTGCTGATTTTGGCCAGCTCCAGTGTCCCCTCTGGTAGTCTGTAATATTGCCTGTGGATGCGTATGTCATGGCCGAGGAAGTTGGCAAGTATGTCCATCTCATTCTCTTTCATATTGAGAACTGTAGACATAGTAGCTATGTGCTTTCTAAGTTTGGTTGAGGATAGCATCTCTGGATGCACCGCACCACATTCTTTGGCTACCTGGCGTAGGGAGTCTGATCCCCTGATGTGGGTGTCTGCGCCCGGGCGGGAAAAGAAGTATGGGTTATGGTCAGAGATGGAACAGGCCCTTCTGTTCTCCACCAGCACCTCCATCGAAGCAATCATTTCAGGAGTCAAAAGAACCGGCACTTTCCGACTTCTTTTCCCTTTAATTTCAATGCGTTGAAAATGCTGACACAGCTTTTTCTCAAGTTGGGACAGTCCCAGAGCAATGTCAGAATGGATCCCAGTCTTACTTCTTAAGGTAAAGGCTGTCAGTGGCATCTTTGAAACCTCACCTTCCCTTCTTCGATTGAAAATGATGACCTCACAAAGAGTCAAAACTGCCAGTTTAGACCAATGCTTAGACGTTGGCTCACTTATTAGGGTTTGCACATATTCAGGTCGACATACCTCAATATGTGCATGCATGGCTCTAACGTCCTCAGTCAGAGGGAGCAGGTCCGGAGTGTTCCACTTGGCTTGCCGGAGGGTCTGTAGGGCAGCAGAAGAAACACAGACGTCCCACCTCTTCTCAAAAAGCAGCCGGCTTCGTTGGAGGTTTTTAATAAATAGTTCATCAACACAATGCTCCATTTTTGAGTCACATTCAAGAATATCTGCTAGCTTTCTGAGGCTATGGCCGAGTTTGAGGGCCAAGGATGGAGTCTTGTATTGATTTGTTTCCTCATCATATCCAGCCACAGACCTGACTGCATCAATCACATGGTTAAAGTTGGAAGGAATAAAGAAATCCTTAATTGTTTTCAGTTTCCCTGCGGTTTTTGCTTCGTTAATTAACCTACCGACTTCTCTCATTTTCTGCCTAATGTAATCATGCTTAGTCTTATCATGCCCGTGTTTTAAGTACAGGTGCTCTCCGAGTCTCAGAATCCCCTTTTCTGCTTTGACAACACCCGTGACCTCATCCTGATGCATTGCCGAAATTAAAGACCACAGCTTTTTGCTGATGCCCTCCGGTACAGGCTGGGCTAGGGAGCAGAGGGACTGGACCCTACTTCTACCTGGTTTAGCCTGGTTTAGCCTGGGCATCTTTCTGTGAAAGCCGGCACCTGGCCACATGCCTCCACAGCGACTTTCGCTTAAGCAATGCCCCACAGTCTATACAGTGCAAAAACTCACTGGATTTAACTGGGGAATTTGGCTGTTTAGCTGGGACTAAAGTTCCAATGCCGGCCTTTAAAACCTCAAAATTGTGCTCACGGTTTCCACTATTCCTGATCAAATCAAACTGAAGTTTACGTGCTTTAGATTTCACAGGTAGAGCCAATGCTCTGGCTACGTCACTTTCATTTCCATGTTTTCTAGTCAAATGACGGGACATTTTGTGGCAGGACATTGAACAGTAGAGGCAGAAGTGTCTCTTGCTGTAAACTCGCCCCCCATTTTTCTTCTTTTGCAGCTGCATGATAACAATCTTATTTGCCTTTGGTTCGTCACTTTCCGAGTCTTGAAGAAAAGTGTTTTTGATTTTTCTTTTTCCATACTTTTTTACAGGTTTCTTCTTGACAGTTAAATCGTCAGAATCTGAGTCGACTTCATCAATTAGGGACTCTTGACTAAGCTGCACAAACAACAAATAATTTGTAATCATTCTATATAACAATTTGAAGTCATGACTTGTAGTCAGCACTTACCAGTGGTTTGTAAGCGTGCGCTTCAGTGTGCTCCTCCATGATTTCTTGCAGCCTAATGAACCACACACTTGCACCTTTTTCTAGCCTGACACCTGATTTCCTCTGTTGTGCTGCTCCATGATTGGCTCCAGCCTCTGTTGTGCTGCTCCATGATTGGCTCCAGCCTGCTGGACTGAAATTGCCCCAGTGTGCCCCTCCTTGATATCCCGCAACCCACCACCAGGGTTCCGACACATAACACACTTTTTTCAGGAAAGTAAACCTCCAGGGGTCCTTTCCATATTTTTACAGAGACTGCATAAGGACCGTTAGAAAAGCATTACCCATTGATTATTAAGCTTGGACCAGTGGGGTCCGGTGTTCGGGCCCCACCACGTAAAACCAGTCCCCATGACGTGAGTGGAATCTCAGGTTATGGAACCCACCAGGAGTTGAAAACAAGTGCACGCAGACACACAGACAGACACACACAGACACACCCTTCTACACACACACACATAGACACACGCTCACATTCACACACACACACAGAGACACACAAACACACACACAGAGACACACACACACACACACAGAGACACACAAACACACACGCAGAGACACACACTCACACACAGAGACACACGCTCACATTCACACACACTCACTCACACAGAGACACACACACTCACACACATACAGACACACACAGAGAAACCAACACAGAGAGAGAGACACACACAAATACAGACACACACATACATAAATACAGACACATAGACACACACTCCCACACAGACACAGAGATAGACACACACTCCCACACAGACACAGAGATAGACACACACTCCCACACAGACTCAGAGATAGACACACACTCACACACACAGTGTAGATAATGTTTTTCATGGAACCCATGTGTTATTGTGTTGCCGCGGCGATGACACCTCACAAATATCATGTCGGAGAAATACACACAGGGAGAGAGTTGTGCTGTGCTGTTCACAGGAGGCCGTTCATCGCCGCTTGCAGATTTAATTTCCTTTTCCGTTCCTTGTGGCAAAAGCAGCAAAAAAAACAATGCGTTTCTTTTGTAAATAAAACAACTTGAGCGACGGCCGTTTGTTCTACAGTAAAATCACTGATCTCCTTTAACCGAGCTCTGATTTGACCCTGATTGGCCCTGCGGTCTGTGTGTGTGTGCGTGTGTGTGTGTGTGTGTGTGCGTCTGGCCGTAGCTCCACTGCGCATAGGGGTGAGTGCTGTAGTGATAGAGGAGAGGCTGGGGTTAGGTTTTAATCAATAGGAGCTGCTGACGAGGGGCTTTCTGCTGCGCTTGTGTGTGTGTCTGTCTGCTGTGTGTGTGTCCGCTGTGTGTGTGCCCGCTGTGTGTGTGTCTGCTCTGTGTGTGTGTGTCTTCTGTCTGCGTATGTATTTGAGCGTATGTGTTTGAGCGTATGTATATGTATGTATGTGGGTGTGGGTGTGTGTGTGTGTGTGTGTGCATGTGGATGTCCCCGCAGCGCGCACACACCGGGACCACAGCCAGACGGGTAATCTGCAGAGTGGGGACGCCGTGACCCGACTCCTGCTCATTCAACAGTTAGAGTTTAAAGACTGCGTTTGAGACTCAGAGAATCTGCAGGTGTTCGGTTTGTGTGGCCCTTTGACAGGAGCATTGGAAAGTCCGGTTTTTAAGGAAGAGGGGAGAGAGGGGAGAGGAGAGAGAGCAGAGAGGGAAGAGAGAGGGGAGAGGAGAGAGAGCAGAGAGGGAAGAGAGAGGGGAGAGGAGAGAGAGCAGAGAGGGAAGAGAGGAGAGAGAGAGGGGAGAGAGGGGAGAGGAGAGGAGAGAGAGGAGAGAGAGAGGGGAGTGGAGTGAGAGGAGAGAGAGGGGAGAGAGGGGAGAGGAGAGAGAGAGTGAAGAGAGGAGAGAGAGAGGGGGAGAGGAGGGAGAGAGGAGAGAGAGGGGAGAGAGGAGAGAGAGGGAGAGGAGAGAGAGAGTGAAGAGAGGAGAGAGAGAGGGGAGAGGAGAGAGAGAGAGGGAGAGAGGAGAGAGAGGGGAGAGAGGGGAGAGGAGAGAGAGAGTGAAGAGAGGAGAGAGAGAGGGGAGAGAGAGAGAGAGGGGAGAGAGGGGAGAGGAGAGAGAGAGAGGAGGAGAGAGGGGAAGAGAGGAGAGAGAGAGGGGAGAGAGAGAGAGAGAGAGTGAAGAGAGGAGAGAGAGAGGGGAGAGAGGAGAGAGAGAGGGGAGAGAGGAGGGAGAAAATGAGAGGAGGAAGAGGAGAGAGTGAAGGAGAGGAGAGCTGAGAAGATAGAGATGGGGGAGAGAGGAGAAGAAAGGGGAGAAGACAGTAAAGAATGGAGGAGAGAGAGGAGAGAGGAGAGAGAGAGGGGAGAGAGAGAGAGAGAGGAGAGAGAGAGGAGAGAGAGGAGAGAGGGGAGAGAGGAGGGAGAAAGGAGAGGAGGAAGAGGAGAGAGTGAAGGAGAGGAGAGCTGAGAAGATAGAGATGGGGGAGAGAGGAGAAGAAAGGGGAGAAGACAGTAAAGAATGGAGGAGAGAGAGGAGAGAGGAGGAAGAGAGGAGAGAGGAGGAAGAGAGGAGAGAGGAGAGAGAGGGAAGAGAGGAGAGAGAGAGGGGAGAGAGAGAGGAGAAAGGAGAGAGGAGAGAGAGGAGAGAGGAGAGAGGGAAGAGAGGAGAGAGAGAGAGAGGGAGAGAGGGAAGAGAGGAGAGAGAGGAGGGAGAAAGGAGAGCTGAGAAGATAGAGATGGGGGAGAGAGGAGAAGAAAGGGGAGAAGACAGTAAAGAATGGAGGAGAGAGGAGGAGAAGAGGGAGAGAGAGGAGAAGTAAGTAACGCATATTCCACAAACAAATAGATGTTGAAGCCGATGAGACAAAGTTTGAGTCTGATTCTGATCCGGAGCTGGTCCAGTGTTGGTCACATGATGTTTATGAAAGGCCCGGTTTTTGGTGACGTTCTCTTTGTTAATAAATAAATAAATATCTTTCTTTTGGTGTCCGTAACCGTGACAACATGTACAAACAGTGTCTTCTCTTTGCTCCAGCATTGATCTAAAAAGTGGATCTTCTCTGAACAGATGTCGGCTCTTTACTGGGTGTTCTGCTGGAGGAGATGGGGGAGGAGGGGGAGGAGCACACACACAGACAGAGGGGAGGGGGGGGGGGGGGGTGAGGAGCACACACAGAGGGGAGGAGGGAGGGGGGTGAGGAGCACACACAGAGGGGAGGAGGGGGGAGGCAGGGGGGAGTTTGTCTATGGAAGTCACGTCCCCAGCGTCTCGTTGTCCGCAGCAACCAGACATGATCTAAGACAGAGCTGAACTTGAACCTGAGTCCAACGAAGAAACAAGTGAGTGAGGAGGAGGGGGAGGACAGGGGGAGAGAGAGGATGGATGAGGAGAGGAGGGAGGAGAGAGGAAGAGAGAGAGGAGGGGAGAGAGGAGGAGAGGAGAGGAGAGAGGAGGAGAGGAGAGAAGAGAGGAGGAGAGGAGAGAAGAGGAGAGAGAGAGAAGAGGAGGAGAGAGGAGGAGAGGAGAGAGGAGAGGAGAGAGGAGGCGAGGAGAGAAGAGAGGAGGAGAGGAGAGAGGAGGAGAGGAGAGGAAAGAGGAGAGGAGAGAAGAGAGGAGGAGAGAAGAGGAGAGAGGAGAGAGAGGAGAGAGGAGGAGAGGAGAGAGAGAGGAGGAGAGGAGAGAAGAAGAGAGGAGGAGAGGAGAGAAGAGGAGAGAGGAGAGGAGGAGAGGAGAGAGGAGGAGAGGAGAGAAGAGAGGAGGAGAGGAGAGAGAGGAGAGAGGAGAGAGGAGGAGAGGAGAGAAGAGAGGAGGAGAGGAGAGAAGAGAGGAGGAGAGAAGAGGAGAGAGGAGAGGAGAGAGGAGAGGAGGAGAGAGGAAGAGAGAGAGGAGGGGAGAGAGGAGGAGAGGAGAGGAGAGAGGAGAGGAGAGAAGAGAGGAGGAGAGGAGAGAAGAGGAGAGAGGAGGAGAGGAGAGAGGAGGAGAGGAGAGAAGAGAGGAGGAGAGGAGAGAGGAGGAGAGGAGAGAGGAGGAGAAGAGAGGAGGAGAGGAGAAAGAGAGAGGAGAGAGGAGAGGAGGAGAGGAGAGAGGAGAGGAGAGAGGAGGAGAGGAGAGAAGAGAGGAGGAGAGGAGAGGAGAGAGGAGAGGAGGGAGAGAGGAGGAGAGAGGCGAGGAGAGGAGGAGGAGAGGAGAGACATAGGAGGTGGGGCAGGAGAGAGGAAGAAGAGAGGAGACGGAGAGGAAGAGAGAGAGGATAGGAGACACCAGAGGAGAGGAGGAGAGAAAGAGGATGAGACACGCGGAGAAGAGAGGCTGCTACGGCGAGAAAGAGCGACAGTAGTCAAGAGAGGAGAGCAGGAGAGGAGCCACGAAGTAGGGAGAGACCAGCGGAGAGGAGATGAGGTACAGAGATAAAGGAAGGAAGGGAGGAAGAGGAGAAGAGGAGAAGAGAGAAAGGGGGGGGGTGGGGGGGGGAGATTGGGGGGTAGGGTTAGTATGGAGTAGTGGAGTGGGAAGAATGATGTGGAGGAGTAGGAGGTGAGGAGGAGTGTGGAGTAAGGAGAGTAAAGAGCTAGAGCGAGAGATCGAGAGGAGAGTGGGGGGGGGGGGTGGGGGGGGGGTGGGGAGGGGGGTTGTGGAAGGGGTGAATTAATTAATGGGTGTGGGTGTGTGGTTGAGTGTGTGTGGTGGTGTGTGGAGAGAGGAAAGGAGAGGCGACGGTAGCATTTAAAGGAGGAGAGGAGTAGGACAAGGGAGGAAAAGAGGACGCCCGTAAAGGGAGAGACGAAGGAGACGGGGAACAGGAGAGGTGGAGGGATACGGAGCGGAAGCATGCGGTAAGGGAGTAGGGAGCAGGCACCAAGGAAACATGAGGGAACCACGCGAGTCAATAGGCAGCGTGGTTCGCGGAAAGGAGTGAGACGGAGAAGAGCCGAGAAACCATTCTGCTCAGGGGCTCCTAAGCCGAGGCGTCACAGAGACCGAGAAGGGGGGGGAACGACCGAGTGACAGTACATGGAGGCACGAAAGTTCAGAATAAACACTGAGGGAGGCCGAAAAATGCGAGGGAGGAGAATCAAAGCGAAACACGAGGACGGCAGGGAGAGTCACTGGGAAGAGACTCCTCGAGCGTCGAACTGGTATCGTCGGGGACGACGGTATGTGTCTGGGAGAGGACGGAGGACAGGAAAAGAATACAACAACCTGGGGCGAAGGGGGGGCGGAAACAGCAGCGGGGGGCATGTGATGACCAACGCCGCGATCGGGACAGGGCGGTGGGCAAGGAGGCCTAACGGCAGTAAAAGGGTACAGAACCAACAGAAGGGCCGAGCGGAGGCACAAAAGAAAAGAGCAAAGGAAGCAGGCAGGACGAAACCGGTATAATCGCAAAAAAGAAAGAGGAGAGCCTAAAAGATAAAACACAACAAAGAACAGGAAGTACTACACGAGAGACTAGGGCACAAAGCAACAGGAGAAGAGTACGGACGGCAACCATAAGCGACAGATAACACAGAGTAACAGACGCCAAAGAAAGAACAAGCAATCAAGGCAGCACACGCATACAGATTAATGAGGACCAGCAAAGGACGTAACGGAGAGACACAGCCGGAATCAAACAGCACGACGACAGGATAGAGCACAGCGAGTAAAACGACCGGCTACTAATCCAAAGAACTTCAGAACAGAGAGCCTACGGGGGACGCGAGAACTGAGATAATGCGGGGAGGTGAAGGTTACGAATGCACGTCGAAGGAACAACAGGGCGGCGCAGCGCTGGATCTCCTCGTGGGCGGCGGCGAGAAAGATGAGTTCACAATCAGAATCGGCAAAGACTACGCGGTAAGGCCGGGGGCAAGGAAACATAATGCAATGGTCTCCGGGCAGGGGGCGCAAAACACAATCCTCTCACGTAGGGTGGTGGGAAGAAGAACAAGTCGACCAAACAAGAACCCAACAATAAACGGGGCGCGAGAGGACACCGGTGGTCCCGCACATTGAGAGCCCAAGGCGCACGGGTGCCAGCCAGCCCACGAAGGAAAGAATAGCACGGGGGTATGAAAACAGAGAATGAGCGACAGCGAGAAAGACCCGGGCTTACCGGCGACAACAGCGACGACACCCGCTCACGGGATAGGGGAAATCCCGTACACGGACAAATAAGTCTAAGGAGCAATGTCAAAGAGCAAGCTAACCAGGATGGACCAGGTCCCATGCACACGTATGTCGAAACCAGCGCGTAGCGAGGGGGTAGCAGACACTGGGAACAGCACGACCGACCGAGCAGGCGCGTTGGCGAGAGTACAAGCAAAGCACAACACCACAATCGAGAGGACAAGAACTAGGGAACGGTAATTAGATACATGCACAATTAATCTCCCCAATAACAACACGAACAATCAAACACCACAACAAGCACATACAAAACCCTCTCTCGGAAACGACCACTAAATCGAACCACTAATATGGAAGCGATGCAGAGACGGAGACAAGAAAACACTTCACAAAAAAGATAACGGACAATAAACAACCCACCCTAAACATAAAAAAACTAAAAACTTACCAAACTACGACCACCAGAACTCACAGGGAGCAACCGGAAAACTAGAACCACACCGTAGCGGGACTGGACGCGAAGAACGCGGATCACACAAACCCTGCCGTGAACCCGAACAGTAACGAAAACATAAGGATGCTCAACAACCAGATCTCTCTCAGGCTCAGCCCGCCGGAACTTTACATAGAGACCACTGCCCGGACGACAGAATAAAAAAAAGCATCGGCAAACAGGGGAGCGAACACACAGAATCCATACCAGCATACCAGAACCGAAAACGTACTACGAAACAAGAACCCTCTACACGACGGCAGATACTCGTCGGAGATAGAGAGAGCACACTCTCAAAGTGACCACGGACCAGACAACCAATTATCAACCACATCCAACCTACAGTAAGACCAACATGAAAGCAACAAACGATCGTCAATCGCGACAACCGCAGAGTAGACGAGTGCACAACTCGCCGACAAAAAACGACGACCCCCATTAAGATAGGACTACAAGTAAAAGTCGCGGTATAAAACCAGATACCGACAACGACAAAACAATAAACAGCAGAAATTGAGACACTAACTCGCGCAAGAGAAACTTGAACATCACACTATACAAGCTATAAATCGATACAAAACAGGGGCCCACCGAACAAACCTGACGGACTAATCCAAGGACATCAGCACTCAGAACCCGAAACCAACGAAGCCAGAGAACACACGTAGACATGAAATCAGTCTGGCAAACATACTGAATAACACACAGACACTAGGCAACCATCTACAACACAAAGATCTTCTCTCGGAACAATCTACGGCGAAGATAGATCACGAAAGGCACGATTCACACACCAGACATAGCTCTCTCGGACACCTGGCACGATAAAAAAAAAACACTTATACCAACAAACCCCTAGATCAAGGAACATACCGGCGAATGGCGATCGCACCACGGACATACGACAATCAAGGACGTATAAACGGATCAAGACGCGCAGCATATAGAATAAAAAGACGAATCAATGCAAAATAATCTCTCTCCAAAAATGATGGACCACTAACAAATCGAAATGAGGGACACCACTGACGAAACAAAAGAACCATCGTCTCACAACTTAAATAAACGCAGCACAGCTAAACGGTGAAACCAAGAAGACAGTGACAAGTTCCACTCTCTCGGAACCAGAAAACATATGTGAGATTTATAAAAGTAACAACAAGAACCAGTGACGACACAACTGACACCAAGCACAGACCAATATTGACCATACTGAGACACCCCACGTCAACAAAACTGACAAGAACGTCTATAACGCGACAGGATGTTATCTAACGTACAATCAGATCCATCAGATAATCAGCGGGCAACATAAAATAACCCAGGACCGGCCTCGGCTCAAGTGCCCACCCGCCTCCGACAAGCGTCCTCAGACAAATCTACACGTAACGCCCTGATCACCGTAGCACAACCACACAGGAAACATAGAACACTCAGCAAAAACATAAGCCCCACGCAGTCCGCCAGTAACACTAACACCAAAACAAGGGGGGGAAACCTAAAAAGTACGAAACATGAACAAAGCAGTGCTCAAACTACGAGACAGGTATGAGGAATCTCGGACTACCCGAAACCACAAACCTCGGAAGCGAAATCATGAGCAACCAGCACATCTTAGAGTCGCCCAAGGACCGACAACAGACATCAAGACTCTCACCCATCGACAGTCAAGACAGATCCCGGTCAAGTGACAAACGACGGACGACGACAACGAAAACACAAAAAAACAACATAGTCGGCCACTGACTCGAACACGCAGACACGAAACCACAAATAGACAATTGACCTGGCCAAAGACGAGACAAGACGCCGGGCAAACAACCAATAACCGTAGGCAACTGCGATAACGCAACCAACCCAGAAACACTTATACAACAGAAAACAGATCAGAACACGAAAAGCAACCACTACACCCACGGAACCAAAACACAACTAGCACTGCCGGCCACTAAGGTGCACGCACACAAGTTAACCAACACTCGGAATCCACAATCCCCACGACACGACCTCCAGGCAACACAGAACTTACTAGACTGCGGCTCGCTGACGCACGGTACACAACGGCCTTTCTGGCAAAACAACTGCCGAGACGGAGTCCGGGGCAAAAATAAACTAAACCAAAAGACGGCAATGACAAAAACGAACGAACAACACCACCCCAACGACCCCGAAGACCCGCTCAAGCACCAACCGATAAAGTGCCAACACAAACACAAGGCCACCATTGAGACGCAATATGATATAAGACCAATTAACCGAACCAAACAACGTCCAAATATCGAGAACAACCATCTGGACACGAAAACAAACCCGGAAGCACAAAGATGGAGATACTGAGAGGGAGCATCCGAACACAACAGAAACAACGCCAGCCCCCCGAGGGCGGCACCGAAAACCCACAAACGCAGACACACAAGAGTTGCGCGAAGACAAACCCAACACCATACTCTCAGCAAAACGTTCACACGGTCGCCCGACACAAACACAGGAGCCCAGGGGTCCAGGGAGACTCACAGTCAGGCTGCGCGTAACACAACAGGCGAGAGGGGGTATATGGGGTGAGGGTTAGTGGGGACGGGAGGTGGAACACGTTCGAATCCATCACCACAGCACAACAACGTCCCAACCACCCACACGCGAAGACGACGCTGGGCACAAACGGACTCAGCCGCAATAACGGAGCACGAAAGGATGAACAAATATGACATCACTACAACATCCAAGACAACAACCCGGGGCAGCCCGAAGGAAAGACACAATGCTCATGAACAAGAATCTCGCTCCACTCACACGACCGAACCGACAAACGCCCGAGTGACCACACAGACACACACACAACGACACAGGAAGGACGGCAAACGGAACGAGGAGAAACCGACGACAGGGCAGAAGACCACCAACGAAGCAACGGGCAGGCAAGACGGACACAACCAACCCCACGAAGGACAAGGGCGAAAAAAAACGTAACTAGGGACACCAAAGCCAAAAAACAGTCTCCTCTCACCCAGGGACAGAGGACACCGGAGAGTACACCCAACACACGAGCACACACGATCTAGAAGCCACGGACTGCACAGCACAACACTCACTCGAAGACAACGAACGTCGCACACAATCAGAACCTATGAGGAGACAGAGGGAGACGACACACAAAGACGACAACATGGACACCTCAGAAAAGAAAACCACAAGGAGGAGGACCAAGAAGCTACGAAAGACCGAAGGAAAAAAAAAATGCGACGGACGATACCGAACGAACAAAGGACATCGCAGCACAGCGCGGCGTACACTGGGCCGCACACAGAGCGGACACAACAATCAAACCACTCTCTCGGACTCCGCAAAGGGTCTCGCAGTCAAGTGCGCCAAGGGAGAGCACGCGGACACTCTGACAACTCTCTCGTGCGGATACGAGAAGAACCACACACGACTCTCGCTAGACGCAGGGGGACGCAGAACGGGGGGCGGAGGCAACCGACGGGACGCCCTCAAACACAAAACGGGGTGACCACACCGACAGAACACACAGAACCGCGTGGGGGGTGTTTGGTTGGAATTGGTTTATTTGGGTGTGTTAGTGGTGGGGGTGGTTGGGTTATGGTGTGGTTTAATTTTGGGTGTGTGATTGGGTGGTGGGTGTAATGTGGTTTAGGTTTTGGTTTTGATGGGGGGGGGATTGGTTGGTGTTGAGAGTGTGGGAGGGGGGGGGTGTTTGGTGTAGTTGTGTGAGTGGGGGGAGGGGGGGGGTATGTGGGTTTGGATAGTGAGGGGGTGGGAAGGGGGGTGGGGGTAGGAGATTTGTGGGAGGTGATGGTTGATTTTATGATAGAGGTTTGTGGTTGTTGGGGGGGTTTTTGTGTTGTTTTAATATAGGGGTTGATATTAAGTAATTGTTAGAGGGGGGTAAAGGATGATTGAGTAGGGGTGTTGGAGGGGGGGGGGGTAGTGGAAGGTTGGTGGGGGGGTGTTTTTGGGGGGGGGGGATAGTGAGTGTGGAGGTGTAAGAAGAGGGAGGAATGGGATGGTGGGGGGGTGTAATTTTGGGGGGTAGGGGGGGTTTTAGGGGGGTGGGTGTGTGTTCGTTTTGTGTTGTGAGAGAGTATTATTATTTGTTAGGGGTGTGGTTTTGTGTGGTGTGGGGAGAGAGAGGGGATATAGGGGGTGGGGTGTTTGTGTGGGGGGGTTAATGTTGGGGGGGTGGATGATATGGAAGGTTGGGGGGTTTTGGGGGGGGGAGGTGGAGTAAGTTGGGGGGTTGTATGTGGGTAGGGAGGGTAGTGTGGTAAAGGGAGAAAGATGAATATTGAAGGGGAGGAGGTGAGGGTTGGGGGGGATTTAGAGATAGGGTGGGGGGGGATAGGGGGTTTGGAAATATTGAGGGGGGGGGATGTAGGGGGGAATATTTGGTGGGGGGGAGTGGGTAGGGGGGGGGTGGATAAGGGTGTGTGTTTGAGGATGGGATATGGAGTTGTTAGTATTTAGGTTGTGGGATTGGTGGGGTTTGTGGGTATGGGGCTGGGGTGTATGTGAGGGGTGTGGGGGGGTGGTTGGTGGGGTGGGGGGTGGTGATTTATGGGGGGGGTGGGGAGGGTGATGGTGAGTGTGTAGAGAGATGAAGGGGAGAGAGAAGAGAGTAGGGGGATGTGTGAGAGATGTGGATGAGATGGGGGGGGAGATGAGTGTGGGGGGATGTGATGGAGGATGGAGAGAGGTGGGAGAGTGATGAGAGTGGTTGAGGAGAGAGATGAGAGAGGAGAGAGGGGTGGGAGATTGGGGGAGAAGTAGAGTGAGAGAGAAGAAGGGGGGGGAGGGAGAGAGGTAGTAATGATGAAGAGGAGTTAGTGAAGAGGATTGGTATAGTAGAGGGGGTGAGAATAAGGGAGGTGGTAGTAGAGTGAGAGAGAGATGTAGTGAGTAGTGGGATTGTTGAGAAGAGGGGGGGAAGAGAGAGGAGGTGGGGGGAAGGGAAGAGTATGGGGAGAGAGGGGGGAGAGAGAGGTGAGAGTGGGGGAGGAATGTGAGGGTTGAGGAGAGGAGTGTAGTAGTGAAAGTAGGGGGTATGAGAGTAGATGAGAAGTGGGGGGGAGAGATGGGGGGAGGAGAGAGGGAGGGGAGAGAGAAGAGTATGTATGTAGGGGGGAGTGTGGGTGGGGTTGGGGGGGGTTTAGGTGGGGGTGGGGGGGGGAGATGGTTAAGGAGGAGAAGATTTAGGTGGGGGGAGGGTATGGGATGGTTTTTTTAGGGTATGTGATAAAGGGTAGTATTTGATGGTGAGATGAGAGGATGAGAGGGGGGATGGGGGGGGGGGGGGGGAGAGGGTGTGGGGGGGTGGGAGCGGGGTTGGGTTTATGGGTTGGAATGTGTGGGGTGGAGGGGGGATGTGGGGTTGTGGGGTATGGTGATGAGAGAAGAATGAGAGGGGGGTGGAAGTATAGGGGGGGGGGGGTATTTATAATGAGGTGTGGGTGATGGGGGTAAATATGATAAGGGGTAGGGGGTTGTGAGGGAGATTGGAGGGGTGGAGGGGGTTTGGGGGGGGGGGGGTGGTAGGGGGGGGATTGGTGGGGGAAGTAGAGGTATGGTTGTGGGGGGGGGGGGGGGGGAGGGTAGAGGTGTGGGGGGGGATGTTGGGATGAAGTGAGGGGTGGTAGGAGTAGGGTAGTGGGTGAGTAGGGGGTGTGGAGGGAGATAATAAGATTGTGGATGTTTAGAGATAGTTATTGGAGTGGTGTTTGTATGAAGTGAGTTGGGGTGTGGGGGTGGGATTTAGATGGTGGGAGGTGGGTAGGGTTTGTGTAAGTTTGATATGGGGGTGGTATTTGTGGGGGAATGGGGGTGGGTTTAATTTGTTGGTGGTAAGGGTTGGTGGGTGGTGGGGTGATGTGTGGGGTGGTTGGTGTGTTTTGGTGGGGTAATGGTTTTATTTGGGGTGGGGGGTGAATGTGTGTATGTTGTTGGGGTAGGGTGGTGGGGGGGGTTATATGTTTTTGAATTTATGTTGTTAAAATGGATAGGGTTGGGGTGGATGTATATTGATATGGTGGGATTGTGGTGGGGGGGTGGGGGTGGTGGGGTATGTGGGGGTTGGGGGGGTGTGAGGTTTAGGTTTTGGTTTTAAAGTAGAGTTTTTATATTTGGGAATGGTGGTAGGATGGGAGGGGTGAGGGATGGAGTGGATGTAGTAGGTGTGGGTGAGTGTAGATAGGAAGATAGGGGGTTTGGGGATGGGGGAAGTGGGAGGAGATGGAAAGATGGGGGGGGGATGGGTGGTGAAGGTGGGGGGGGGGGGGTTGGGATGAGTGTTGTTAGGAGGAGGGAATTTTGGGGGGATGAATAGGGGGTTAGGATTGGGGGAGGGGGAGGGGATGGTGTGGGGGTGGGGGAGTATGTAGTGGGGGGGAGGGGTGGGGTGGAGGGGGGGGGGGGTGTGTATGTTGGGGGGTGGGGGGTATGATGGTAATAGGGGGTTTGGTGTGTTATGTTTAGGGATGATGGGTGGGGTTTGTTATGGGGTGGGGGTTGTGGTGGTTGTGTGATATTTGTTTAATGGGGGGGTGAGATAGGGGGGATATAGGAGTATTGGTTGTAATTATAAGGAGAATTTGGGTGTTAGATGGAGGGGGGGGTGGGTGGGGTGTGTGTGGGGGGTTGGGGTGGTAGTGTGGGAAAGTAGATGAGGCGGAGTGGAGGTTGAATTATTTTATGTTAGAGAGGTTGGGGTTTAAATTTATGTTGGGGGTGATGTTGGTGATTGGAGTATATTAAATATAGGGGTTTATGGGGGGTGTGTTGGTATGGTGGGTTATTGGGGGGTGGGGGATGTAGGAGAGAGGTTAGGGAATGGTAAATAATGGAGGGGTTGGGGTGGGGGGGGGGGTGGGGTAATGATGGTGGGGATGGGTTAAGGGGTGTTAGGGGGGGGGGTGTGGGTGGGATGGGGGTGGTTGTGTGTATATTTGTGGGTTGGGGATGAATAATTTTTATAGGATGTAGGGGGGGGAGGAAGAATAGGGAGGAGGAGAGAGAAAGTAGTTAAGAAGGGGGGTGATATGATATAGGTTGGGGTTTATGGGTGAGGTTGGGTGAAGTGGATAATTGGAAGGTGAAGGGTTAGGATTAGGATATAGGGGATGAAGGGAAGAGGAGGGGGTGGAGAGATGATGTAATGGAAATTAGTGTTGTGGGGGGTGGGGGGTGAGGTGGGGGAGTTAAGTGGTTAGTGGGGGGAGTTAGTGGGGGGAAGAGAAGTAGGGGTGAGGGAGAGGGGGGAGAGAGAGTATTTGGGGAGAGTGAGAGGGAGTGAAGAGAGGGGTATGGGAGAGAGGGGTGAGAGTAGGTGAAAAGAGTAGAGGAGAGATAGAGGGAGATGATAGGAGAGGGAGATGATGATGATGGGGGTGTGAGAGGGATGTGAGAGGGGAAGGGGGTGTTTAGGGTGGTGTGGGTTTGGGAATAATTTTTATGGGTGGATGGGGAGGGAGGAATGTGAGGGGGGGGGGGGTAATTTTGGGGGGTGGGGGGTGGGGAGGTGAGGTGGGGGGGTGGGGTTGGGGGGGGGGGGGGTAGGTATTTTTGTTTGTGTGGGGGGGGGGGGGGTGGGGTATGGGGTTAATAGGGGGTTTAATGGGGGGTATTTAGGGGGGGGGTGAAGTGTGGGGTTGTTGTAGTGGGGAGAGGGGGATGAGTGTTGGTGGGGTGTGGGTATATGGGTTTAGGGTTATAGGAGATGGGGGTTTGGGGGAGGTGTGTGGGGTGGGGATTGGGGGGGGTGGGGTTTTGGTGTTAGATGTAAGTTAGAGGTAGATTGGGGTATATGTGTGAGGGATTGGAGTTGGTTTAGGGGGTTTAGGGGGGTGAGTAGTGATATGGGAGGGGTAAGAAGAGAGATGAGAGAGGGAGGGGGTATGAGGGTAGGAGAAGAGTGGGAGAAGATGGGAGAGGGATAGGAGGGGGGGGATAGAGGGGGGGTGAGAAGGGGAGGGAAGTTAGTAGGATGGAGAGAGAGAGAGTATAGAGTGAGGGGAGTGATAGGGATGAGAGATAGGTGTTGTTGGGGATATTAGAGTGAGAGAAGTAGGGGGATAAGAGGGGTAGAGAGGGAGGTGATGAGGGAGGGGGGAGATGAGATGAGTGTGGGGGGTGGGGGATGTATAAGGTATGGGATGGGGGAGTGGTGATTAGAATTGTTATAAGGTGGATTGGGATTGTATAGGGTTGTGGTGGTGGGGGTGTGGGTGTTGGGTGTTGGGGGGGGGGGGGGGGGGGTAGGATGTTGGGTGGTGGGATGGGGGGGGGGGGGGGGGGGGGGGGGATGTGTAAGGGATAAGGATAGTTTGTGGGGGGGATTGAGGGAAGGAAGGAGAAGGGTTGTAGTTGGTGGTAGTGGGGGTGTGGGGGGATGTAGGGGAGTTAGGGGAGTGGGTGGGGGGGTTGGGGGGTATAGAGGTTATTAGAGTTGAGTGGGTTAATGAGGAGGGAAATTTATGAGGTGTTGGATGGTAAGATGTGTATTGAGGGGTGTTGGTATTTATTGGGTATGGGGGTGGGGGGGATTGTTGGTGGTGGGTGGGGGGTAGGGGTGGGTTGTGGGGTTGGGGTGTTGGGGGGGGGTGTGTGGTGATTGTGGTGTAATTGGGTGTAGGTGTGTAATGGTGGATGGGTGTGTGTGGGTATTGTTGGGGTTAAGTTGTTGGTTGTGTTGGTGTGGGGTAGTGTGTGGGGTGTATTGGGTTTTTGGGTGTTGAATTTTTTTAGTATGGGTGGGGGGGGGAGGGGGGGGGGGTAGGGAATGTTGGTGGGGGGGTGGGATTGGTGGGTGTGGGGTATGGAGGGGGTTGGTGTTTGGGGGGGGGTTGGGTGGTGATGGGGGTGGGGGTGGGGGGTGTGTTGGGGATTTGGGGGGGGTGGGGGTGTGTGGGTTGGTGGGGGGGGTTGGGGTGGGTGAGTTGTGGGGTAGGGGGGGGGGGGGTGGGGGTGGGGTTGGATGGTGGGGTGGGGTTAGTGTGTGGGTTGTGGGTGAGGGGGGGGTTGGATGGGTTGGGTTTGTATTGGTAGGGAGGGGGGGGGTGGGGGGGGGGTATGGGGGGGGTGTGGATTGAGGTAGTTGTTGGGGGGGGGTGTGGGGTAGGAGGGGGGGGGGTTTTGGTGTGTGTTTTTGGGGTGGTGGTTGGGGGGGTGGGGTTGGGGATTGGGTTGTTGATGGGGTGGGTGTGTGATGGTTAGGGGTGTGGGGGTGGATATGGGTTGGGGTGTTTTGGTTTGTGTGTTTGGGGTATGGGTTTGGTATGGGGGGGGAGTATAGTGAAGGAATGTATGTGTGTGTATGGATGGGGGGGGGGTTGGTTTTATTTGGGGTTAGTGGTGATGGGTGGTTTTAAGTGGGTAGTTGGTGGGGGGGGGGTATGGGGGGGTTGATGGTTTGGGGGGTTGGGGTGGTGGGGTGGGGGGGTGGGGGTGGGGGGGTGTGGGGGGGGGGGGGTGGGGGGTGTGGGGGGGGGGGGGGGTGGGTGGGTGGGGGTGGGGGGGTGGGGGTGGGGTGGTGGGGGGGGGGGGGGTGGGGGGTGTGGGGGGGGGGGGGTTGGGGGGGTTGGGGGGGTGGGGGGGGTGGGGGGGGGGGGGGGGGGGGGGGGGGGGGGGGGGTGGGGGGGGGGGGGGGGGGGGGGTGGGGGGGGGGGGGGGGGGGTGGTTGGGGGGGGGGGGGGGGGGGGGGGGGGGGGGGGGGGGTGGGGGGTGGGGGGGGGGGGGGGGTGGGGGGGGGGTGGGGGGGGGGGGGGGTGGGTGGGTGGGGGGTTTTGGTGGGTTGGGTTTGGGTTTGGTTGATGTTTGGGTTGTGGTTATGTAGTGTTGTTTTATTGGATTTGGTATTTGTTTGTTTGTGTTAGGGGGTGTTGGGGGAGGGGGGGGGTGGGGGGGTTTGTTTGGTGTAGTGGTGTGAGGGGAGGATGGGGGTGGGGGGGGAATTTTTGGGGGGGTTGGGGGGGGGATTGTAGGGGTGGGTGGGTGGGGGGGTGTTTTTGTGGTTAGGGGGGGTGGTGTGTGGGGGTTTATGGGAGTGGGAATTGATTATTATGTTGTGGGTGGGGGGGGGGTTATGGTGGGGGTGGTTGGGTGTTGTTGGTTGTGGGGGTGGGGATTGGGGGGTGGGGGGGGGGGTGATGATGGGTGGGTTGGGGGGGTTGATTGGTTTGGGGTGGGGGGGGGGTGGGGGTGGTGATGTGGGGGGGGGGGGGGGTGGGGGGTGGGGTGGTGGTGTGTGGGGAGAGGTAGGGGTTATTGTGGGTGGGGGGGGTGAGGGAGAGTATGATGAGGGGGGGGATGTTTGTGATGAATAAGGTTTAATTATGGGGAGAGTATGGGGGGTAATGGGGGGGGGTATGTGATGTTGTGTGGGTTGTATGTGGTGGTGGGGGGTGTGTGGGGGGGGGGGTAGGTGGGTGGGGTGGGGGGGGGTTGGGGGGGTTGGTGGGGGGGGGGGGGGGGGGGGTGTATGTGATTTGGGGGTGTAGGGGGGTGAGTATGGTATATAGGGGGGGTGAGGGTTGAGTTTTGGGATGGGGAGGGGGGGGGGGGGGGTGTTGGTGTGATGGGGGGGGGAGATTGTGTGGGATGGTGAATGGGTTGTTTGGGAGGGGTATTGGGTGGTATGGGGGGTGGATTTTGGGGGTTGGGGGGGGATGGGTTGGGGGGGGGTGGGTGGATGGGGGTAGGTGGGGGTTGGTGGTGGTTAAGATGTGGGGTATTGGGTGTGATGGGGGGGGGGGTAGGGGTTGGTTTGTGGGGGGGGTGTGGGGGTGTAGGGGTGTAGTGGGGGGTATTGTGGGGGGTGTGGGGGGTGATTGGTATGTAGTGTATGTGTATGGGATGGGGATATGGGGAGTGGATGGTGTAGGGGGGGGGGGGGGGGGAGTTGGGGGTGGTTGTGGGAGGGGGGGGTTGGTTGGGGTGTGTGTGGAGTTTGGGGATTGGATTGTTTGTGGGTATGGGGGGTGTTGTTTTTTATGTTGTGGGGTTGAGTGTGGGGGGGGTATGGGGGTGATGTTGGGTTTAGGTGTTTATTTTGGGTGGGTGGGGGTTTTGTGGGATATGGGTTAGGTGTGGTGGGTTGTGTGGAGGGGGGGGGGTGGGGTATGGTGGGTTGGTGGGGGTTTTAGTGGGGGGGGGGGGGGTGGTGGGTGGGGGTGGTGGGGGGTTGGGGGGTTGGGGGTTATGATTGGGGGTGGGGGGGGGTGGTGTTGTGTTATGTGGGGGGGTGATTGAGAGGTAGATAGGGGGGGGGGGGGGGGTGGGGTTAGTGGGTGATGAGGTGGTGTTTAGGGGGTGTGTGGGGGGGGTATGGAGTTTGTGGGGGATAGTATGGGGTGTGGTGGGGTATGGGGGTGGGGGTGGTATGGGTTGGGATGTGGGTGGGGGGGGGGGTGTGATGGGGTGTTGGTGGGTGGAGTGTTGGTGGATTAGGGGGGTTGTGGGATAGGGGGGGGGGGGGGGGGTGGGTAGGTTGGTGTGTTGTGTTGTGGGGGGGGGTATATGTAGGGGGGGTGGAGGGGGGGGGTAGGGTTAGGGGTGGGGGGGGGGGGGGGTATGGGGATTTAGGGGGGTGGATGTTTGTGGGTAAGTGTAGGTTGATTGGGTGGGGGGGTGGGGAGTGTGGATATGTGGGGTGTGTAAATAGTTGTGGTGAGTTTGGGGGGGGTTGGTTATGGGTGGGTTGGGGGGGGGGTGTGGGGGGGGGGTGTGGGGGTGGGGGGGTGGGTTGTGAGGGGGGGGGGTGGAAGAGAAGTATTTTTGTTTTGGGATGGGTGGGGAGGTATGGGGGTTTTGGTGGTGTTGTGTGGGGGGGTGGGGGGGGGTAAGGGGGGGGGGGGTATGGGGGATTAGTTGTGGGTGGGGGATGGGGTGGGGGATAGGGTGGGGTTGTAGAGGTTATGTGGGGGTTTGGGGAGTTGTAGTGGGGGATGGTGGGTTTTGGGGGGTTGGGGGTGTAGGGGTGGGGATGAGGGGGGTTAGGTGTTGGGTTGTAGTGGGGAGTGGGGGGTTTTGTTGGTAAGTTGGAGGGTTGAGGTGTTTTTTGGGGATGGAGGGGTGTAGGGGGGATATGGTGGGGTAATATGTTTGGGTTGGGTGGGTGAGGGGGTTGGGAGGTGGGAGGGTGGGTGGTGGGGGGGGGGGGGTTTTTGGTGTTTGGGGGGGGGTTGGTGGGTGGGGGGGGGTTTGGTGGGGGGGGAGGTTTTGGGTGTGGTAGTGGTTGTTTGGTGGTGGGGGGGAGGTGGTGGTGGGTTTTTGGGGTGGGGTGGGTGGTGTGGGTGGGGGGGGGTTGGGGGGGTGGGGGGGGGGGTGGGGGGGTGGTGTTGGGGGGTTTTGTTGGTGGGGGGGTTGGTTAGGGGGTTTTGTGGGGTTTTTTGGGGGGGGATTGGGGGTTGGTGGGTGGGGGGGGGGGGGGTGTTTGGTGTGTGGGGTGTGGGTGGGGGGTGGGGGTTTGGGGGGGTTATGGGGGTGTAGTGAAGGTTTGGGGGTTGGGGGGGAATTGGGGGGTGGGGGGTTGGGTGTGGGTTTTTGTGGTGATATTGTGTGTAGGGGGTGGGTTTGGGGGTGTGGAATGTGGGGGTATGTGTGGGGGGGGGGATGGGTGGGAATGGTTGTTAGGGTTGAATTGGGGGGGGTTTGTGGGGATGGGGGGGGGTTAGGGGGGTTGGGATAGGTGGTTGGGGGTTAATGTGGGGGGGGGGGGGTATTTTGTGGTGAAAGGTGTGTAATGGTGGGTTAATGGGAGGTTGTATGTTGGTGGGATATGGGGGGGGGTTTATGTGGGTGGGTGTAATGGGGTGGGGTTTTTGGTTTTAATTGGTTGTGTATATGTGGTGGTTGGTATATTGGTGTGTGGTATTGTGTGGGAAGTTGGGTATGGGGGTGTTGAATGTGGTGGTGAAGGGTGGTTGATGTGTTGGGTTATGGGGTTGTATTTGTTGGGTTTGGGGGTGGGGGATATGGGTGGGGGTGATTGGTGGGGGTGTGTTGTGGGGGGTAATTGGGGGGTGTATGGATGTTGTATTGGGGGTGAATGGTGGGGTAAGGTGTGAGTGTTTGGTGGGGGTGTTATGTTTGGGTGTGGTGGGTTTTAGGGTGGTGGTAATTGTGTGGGTATGTTGGGGGGGGGTAATTGGGGGGTGGTGATGTTGTGGTTTGTGGGGTTTGGTGGTGGTTAGGTGGGGATAGGGGTGGGGGATTGGGGTATTGGGGGGGGGGGGGGGTGGGGTATTGGGGGGTTATATTTTGGGGGAATGGGTGGGTAGGGGGTGTGGTAATTGTGGTGTTAATGTTGTGTGTATTTGGGTGGTATGTGGTGGGTGGGAAGTGGGGGTGTTGGTGTGTGGTAATTGGGGGGTGGGAATGGGGGTTGAATTGGGGGTGGTGAGTTTGGTGCTGGGGGGGGATAGTGGGGGTTGTGTTGGGTGGGGGTAAGGGGGGGGATATGTGGGGGTTTTTTTGTGGTATGGGGTTGTGTGGGGGTTTGTGGGGGGGATGTTATGGTGGGGGGGGTGGGGGAAGGGGGTGGGAGTGGTGTGGGGTGTTTGGGTGGTTTTGGGTGGGGGGGGGGGGGGTAGAGGTGGTGGGGGGGGGGGGGTGTGGTTTTGTGGGAGTTGTGGTTGTAGGGGGGTGGGAAGGTGGATATTTGTGGTAATTGGTGGATGATTGGGTGTGGGGGTAATTTGGGTTGAATTGGGTATTGGGTTTGGGGTGTCATTTGGTGTGGAAGGGTGTGGTAATGTGGGTGTTTGGGGGGATTGGTGTTAGGGGGTTTTGTGGGTTTTATTTGTGGTAGTTGGGGGGGGGGGGGGTTAGGGGGGGTGTTGTATTGGGTGGTGGAATTTGGGTGGTGGGTGGGGGAATGGGTGGTTTTTTGTGAATGGGGGGGTGGGGGTGGGGTATGGGGGGGGGGGTTATGTTGTGGGGTTTGGGTTGTTGTTGGGGTTATGATTGGGGGTGGGTGGTTGTTTTGGGGGGTATAGGGGGGGGTGGTTTAGGGGGGTATTTGTGGTGGGGGGGGTGGTGGGTGGGTGTGTTTGGGGGGGGGGGGGGGGGGGGGGAAGGGGGTTATGGATTTTGGAGTGTTTGTAGTATGGGAAATGTGTGTTGGGGGGGTATTGGGGGGGGGGGGTGTGGTTTTTGGGTTGTGGTTGGGGTGGGGGGGGGTTTTGGTGGTGTATGGGTGAGGGGTTTGGTGGGTTGGTGTTGGGTTGTGGAGGGGTTGGTTGGGGGTTGTGGAGTGTGGGGGGGTGGGGGGTGGGGGGGTTGGGGGGGGGAGGTAGTGGGGTTTTTGGGGGTGGTTGGGGGGGGATGGGGTGGGGGGGGGGTTTTTGGGGGTGGGTTTGTGAGAGATTAGTATTTGTTGTGTGGGGTGTGGGGGGTGGGGGGGGATATGGGGGTGTATAATTGGTAGTGGAAGTGGGTGTAGGAGGTGAGGGGGGGGGGAGGGGTATGAGAGTTTGGTTTATGTTTTGATGGATATAGGGTGGTGAAAATTGTTGGTATATAAGTGGGTTAGGAGGTTGTTGGGTGGGTGGGGGGGGTTGTGGAAGGTTGGGGGGGGGGGTGGGGGTTGGATAGGTTGGGGGAAGGGGGAGTATGAGTTTAGTTTTGTTAGGGTATAGGGAAATGGGGGGGGATGGGTTGAGGGTGAAGGAGGGGGGGAAGGGGATTAATGGATAGTTTTACGGAAGGGGAAATGATGGGGATGGATGGGATGAGGTATGGGAAGAGAGGGGGGGGGAAGAGAGAGGAGAGAGAGAAAGGGGAAGAGAGAAAGAGAGAGTGAGTTTAGAAGAGGGGGGAAGAGAGGGGGGGGGGGAGGGGAGAGGGGAGAGAGTGGGATAGAGGGGGGGGGAGTGATATAGATGATTGAGAAGGGGAGAGAGAGGGGGGGGAGAGAATGGGGAGAGTATGTGGTAATGAGAGGGGGGGGAGAGAATGGGGGTGAGAGGGGAGAGTGTGTTGATTGATAAGAGTGAGAGGAAGTGGGGGGGGAGAGAGAGGGGGGAGAGGGGGAATAGAGGGGGGGTATGGGAGGGGGGAGTGTGTAGGGGGGAGTGAGGGGGGGGTGAGTGTAGGGGGGGGTGTGGGGTGTGTGGGGGTTGATGGTGTTGGGGGGGGGTATTGTGGGGGGGGGGTGATAGTAGAGGGGATATATTGAGGGGAGAGATATTTGGGTTGTGGGTTGGGGGTGGGGGTTGGTGGGAGGGGGGGGTGTGTGGGAGGGGGGGGGGGGGGGTGGGGGATGGGGATTTTGGTGGTGTTATAGGGGGTTTGGGGGTGGTGTGAGGGGGGTGTGGAAGTTTTGGGTATTGTTTGGGTGTAATGTGTGTTGTGGGGGTAGTGATGGTGGTGTTGGGGGTGTGTGTGGGGTGTGTGTAGGGTGATGGGGGGGTGTGTGATGGTGTGTGTTTGGTGTGTGTGTGTGTTGTGGGGTGAGTAGGTGTGTAAGGTGGTGTGTGTGGTAGTGTGTGTGGGGGTGTGTGGTGTGTGTGGGGGGATGTAGTGTGGGTGTGTGTTGGGAGTGTGTGTGGTGTGTGTGTGGTGATTAGTATGTGGGGGGGTGGTGTGTGTGTTGTGTGTGGGTGAGTGTTGGGTAGTGTGAGGGGGGAGTGTGTGGGTGGTGTAGTGGGGGTGAGTGTGTGGAAGTGTGATGGTGTGTGAGTGGGGATGATTGAGTGTGTTGAGTGTGTGAGGGTGAGTGTGTGGGGGGGTGTGTGTGTAGTGAGGGGGGGTTGATGTGTGTGTGTGTGGGGATGTGTTTGGGGATGTGTGTGTGGGGTAGTTGTGGTTTGTGTGTGTGTTGGGATGAGAGAGGGGGGTATTTGTAGGATGGTGTTGTGTGGGGTGAGAGAGTGTTGTGGTAGTGGTAGTAGTGTGGATGAGTGATGAGGTGATTGTTGAGGGGTTGTGTGTGGGGGTGTGTGTTGTGGGGAGTGTAGTGTGGGGGGTGTGTGTAGGGTGTGTGTGTGGGGGTGTGTGTGTGGGTGTGAGTTGATGATGGTAGGGGTGTGTGTTGGGGGGGTGTGTGTGAGGGGGGTGATGTGTGGTGTGTTGTGGGTAGTATGGTGGTGTGATGAGTGGGGAGAGAGATGTGGGGTGTGTGAATGTGGGGAGTGTTGGGAGTGTAGTGGGGGGGGGATGTGTGTGGGTTGGTATGAGAGGGTAGTGTGTGGGGGGTGTGTGAGTGTGTAGTGGGATGTGTGGTTTTGTAGTGTGGTGTGTGAGGGGGATGTTGATAGGAGTTAGGTTAGTGGGGGGTGTGGGGGTGTATGGGGGTTTGTGTGTTGAATTGGAAATTGTTTTTGGGTGGTGTGGTGGGTGGGGGGGGGGGAGGGATGGTTTGGGGGGGTGGTTGGGTTTTGGGTGGTTAGGGGGGGGTGGGGTGTGGGGGTTATGGGGGGATGTGGGGGGAGGGGTTGGGTGTTGGGTGTTGTGGGGGTAGGTGGGTGTTAGGTGGGTGGGTAGATTTATGGGGGTGGGTGTGTGGTAGTGTGGGGTGGTGGTGGGGGTGGGGTGGTGGGGGGGGGGGGGTGGGGTGTTTGGTAGGGGGGTGGGGTGGGGGGGGGGGTTTGGGGGGAGGGGGTGTGTGGGGTGGGGTTGGGTTGGGGGGAGATGGGGGGGTGTTTGGATTGGGTGATGTGGTTAGTGGTGGGTATTGGTAAGGTAGTAGTGGGGTTTGGTGTTTTTGGGTTTGGGTGTTGTATTGGGGATTTTTGGGGATATGTTTTGGGAGTGTGGGGGGGGGGTATATTGGGTAGGAATGGGTGTTGTGTGGGGTAAGATGGGTGATTGGAATGGTATGAGTGTATTGTTGGGGGGTAGGTAATGGGTTTGTGGTGTTGGGGGGGGGTTGGGGGGGTGTTTGGGGGTTTGAGGGGGGGGGTGGTGGTGTGGTGTGGGGTGGGTGGGGGTGGGGGGGGGGGGTGGATGGGGGGGGGGGGATTGGGTGGGGGATGGGGGGGGGGGGGTGGGGGGTAGTGTGTGTGGTGGGGGGTGGTGTTGTTTTTTGGGGGATTTTTGGTTTTTGTGGGGGGTGGGGGGGGTTTTTTTGGGTGTTGGGGTGGGTGGGGTGGGGTGTTATGGTTTTGGGGGGGGTTTTGGGGGGGTGTGTTGGGGGGGTGGGGGTGTGGGTTTGGTGGGGGGGTGGGGGGGGGTGGGTTGAGTTGTGTGGGTTGGTTTGGGGTTGTGGGGGATGTGTTTGTTTGTGGGGGGGGGTGGGAGGTTTGGATGGTTGGGGTGGTTGGGGGGTGGTGGGGGTTGTTGGGTGTTGTTTGTTTTGGGGGGGGTGTTGGGGGGGGTGGTTGTTTTGGTGGGTGGGGGGGGTTGGTGTGGTGGGTGGGGTTGGGAGTTGGGTGGGGGGTGGTGGGTGTGGGTGTTGGTTAGGAGTTTTGGTGTGGTTGGGGTGGTGGGGGGGGGTGGGGGTTGGGGGGGTGTTGGGTGGGGTTGGTGGGTTAGGGGTGGGGGGGGGGGTGTGTGGTGGAGTGTTGGGGGGGGTGGGGGGTGGGTTGGTGTGGGGGTGTGTGGTGTGGGGTGGGGGGTTGGTGGTTGGGGGTTGGGGGTGGGGGTTGGTGGGGTTGTGTGTGGGGGGGTTTGGGGGGGGGGGGTGGTTGGGGGGGTGTTTGGTTTGGGGGTGGGGGGGGGGGGTGTGGGGGGGGGTGGGGGTTGGGGGTGTGTGGGTTGTGGGGGTGTTGGTGGGGTGTGTGTTGGTGTTGTTGGTTGGGGGGGGGGTGGTGGGGGGGTGGTTGGTGTGTGTTGTGGGGGGGGGGGGGGGGGTGTGGGGGGTTGGTTGGGTGGGTTGTTTTGGTGGGTTTGGTGTTTTGGGGGGGGGTTGGTGGTAGTGGGTTTGTGGGTGTGGGGGGGTGGTTGTGGTTTGGTGTGATGTGGGGTGGGGGGGGGGGGGTGGGGGGGTGAGGGGGTGGGGGTTTGTGTGGGGGTGTTTGGTGGGGGGGGGGGGGGGGGTATGGGGGGGGTTGGAGGGGTTTTGGTGGGGTGGGGTGGTTGGGGGTGTTTGGGTGGGGTGTGGGGTGGGTGGGGGGGGGTTGTGGGGGGGTGTGGGGGTTGGGTGGGGGGGTTGTGGGGGGGGGGGTGTGGTGGGTGGGTGGGGGGTGGTTGTGGGGGGGTGGGGGGGGGGGGGGGGGGTGGGTGGGTGGGGTGGTGGGGTTAGGGGGTTGGGGGGGGGGGTGGGGGGGGGTTGGGGGGGGGGGTGGGGGTGGTTTGTGGGTGTGGGGGGGGGTGGGGGGGGGGGTGGGGGGGGTGTTGTGGTGGGGGGTTTTGGTTTGGTGGGTGTAGTGGGTTTGGGGGGGGGGGGGTGGGTAGGTGTGGGGTGGTTTTGGGGGTGTGGTGGGGTGGGTGGGGTTTGGGGGGGGGTGTTTGTTTGGGTGGGTATGGGGTATTGTGGTTTGGGGTGGGGGGGGGGGGGGGTTTTGTTTTGTGGTGTGGGGGGGGGTTGTTGGGGGTGGGGGGGTGTGGTTTTGGGGGATTGAGGGGTGGAATGGGTTGTGGTTTGTGTTGGGTGGATGGGTTGGGGGGGGGTGTTGTTGGGGTTTGGGAAATTGATGGTTAGGGTGTGTTTAGGGGGTGGGGTTTGGGAATTTGTGGGGTTGGGTGGGGGGTTGGGTGGGTTGGTGGGGGGTTGGTGTGGTTGGTGTGGTTTGGTTTGTGTGAGGTTGGGTGGTTGTGGTGTGGTGTGGTGTGGTAGTGGGGGGGTTTGGGGTGTTAGTTGTTGTTGTATATGTATAGTTATGTAGTGGTGTGTGTGATGGAAGTAGTGGTGATGTGGTGTGTAGGGGTAGTGATGTTGAGTTGATATGTTGTGTTATGTTGATAGAGTGTATGTGTGGAGTGTGAGATGGGAGTGGAGTGTAGTGTAGTTAGTTAGTAGTATTGAGTAGGTTAGGGTTTTTGAGGAAAGGATGTGGTGGTGTAGTAAGGTGGAGTAGAGAGAGGATAGGTTTGTTGAGGTGAGGAGTAGTTTTGGTGGAAGGGGTTAATGGTTGGTTAGGTGGGTGGATGATGTGTTATGGTAGTGTAGAGTTATTATTGATTTATTTAATTAATGTAGAGTTGTAGTTTGGAGTGTAGTGGTTATGTTGGTGTGTAAGGTGTGTAGTGGGGGGGGGTAGGAAGGGGGGGTGTTTGGGGTTGTTGTAAATGGTGGGGAAAGATAGGGGGGTTGGTGGGTTAGTGTTTGGGTGGGTGGGTGGGTGGGGGGTTGGGGGGGGGGGTTGTGTGGGGGGGGGTTGGGGGGATGGGGGGGGGGGTATATGGTAGAGGGGGGGGGGGGGGGGGTTTTGGGTTTAGTGGGGTTTAGGGAAGTGTGTGGTTGGGTGGTGTGGTGAGATAGGGGGGGGTGGGGGGAGGGTGGTTTTGGAGGGATGGGGTTGTATGGGGGGGGGGGGGGTTGATGGGTTGTTTATTGGGGGGTTGGGTGGTTGGGGGTGGATAGGGGGGGGGGGGGGGGGATTGGTGGTGTGGTATGAGGAATGATATAAAGGTGGGGTGGGTATAGAATGAGGGGGGGGTATGGGAAAGGAGAATAGGGATGGGGGGGTATGGGTTGAGGGTAGGAGTGGGGGGTAAGGTATGAGATTGGAGTTTTATAGGGGAGAGGGGTGGAAGAATGGTAAGTGAGAGTAGGAGAAAGATAAGAGGGGAGAGAGAGAGAAGAGAGAGGGGTAAGAGAGAGATGTAGAGAGAGAGATATATGGAAGGGGAATGTATAGGGATGAAGAATGGGAGGGGGAAAAATGTGTTTATAGTGAAGGGTTTTTGATGTGTTATTGTTTGGGTGGGGGGGGTGTGGGAGGAGGGGGGGAGAGAGAGGGGGAGAGAGTGTGGGTAGAGGGGGAGGTGAGAGAGGGGGGGAGAGAGAGGGGGGGATTAGATTATGAATAGGGTAGAAATAGGGGGGATAGAGAAGAGAGGGGGGTGATAGAGGGGAGAGATAGGAGAGATAAGGGGGAGAAAATAGGGGATAGATAGGGAGAGTAAATGGTGGAGAAATATTAGAGATAGGGAGGGAGAGAGAGAGGAGAGGGGAGGGGGAGTGGAGGAGTGAATGGGGGGGGAAGGGGGGGGTGGTGTTTGGTGGGGAAGGGGGGGGGGGGATTTAGGTGGTGAGAGAGATTGGGAGGTGGTGTGGGATAGGTGGGGGATATGTTGGGGTTATAGGAGGTAAGGGGGTAAGAGGTAGGGGGAGAGGGGGAGATGGTGGGGTTGTGGATGGGATTTGTGTGGGGTTGGGTATAGGTGTGATATTAGGAGGGAGATGTGGAAATGAATATAATATGGTTTAGGTGTTTGTGGGTAGGGTGTGAGGGTGGATGGGGGGTGGAATGTTTGTTAGGGGGGGGGGGGGGGGGTTGGAGGTGTTATATTTTGGGGGAGGGTGGGGTTATTAATGTGTGGTGGGTTGTGAATGTTGTGTGGGTAATGTTTGGGTGGGTGTAATGTTGAATATTGTTGTAGGTGGGTGTAATGTGGTTTTGGTGTAATTGTGTGTGGAATTGGTGGTGGTGTGTGTTTTTGTGGGTAATTTTTGTGGAATGTGGGTATTTTTTGTGGTGTTTAAATTGGGTAATGGGTGGGGGTTTTGTGGATGTTTGGTTGTGGTTTGTTGGGGGGGTTTTTGGTGGATGGGGTGGGGAGTGGGGTTAAGGGAGAGGAAAGGGAGGGATTATGGGGGGGGGAATGGTAGTATGGTTGTGGGTGGGGGTAAGGAGGGAAGATAAACGATGATTATAAGGGGTGGAGGGATATGAGGATATAGAAAAAGTTAGGGGGGACATTTGAGATAGGAAGAAGAATTTTAGGGGATGAATGTTAAAAATAGTAAGGGTGGGTGGTTATAGTGGGTGTAGATGGGATGGTATTAGGAGGTATTTGATGGAGGATATGGGTGGTGGGGGTGTTGGGGGAAAAATTGGGGAGAGTTGATGTGGTTTGGTTTTTGATTAGTGGTTTTTGGGGGGGGGGGGGGGGGGTTTTTTTGTTTGTGGGGGGGTTGTTGGGGATTGTTGTGGGGGGGGGGGGGGGGGGGGGTTTTGGTAGTGGAGTTGGGGGGGGGTTGTTATTTTAATTGTGTGGGGATTAATTGTTGGAATTGTGTTAATTGTGTGTGGTAGGTTGGTGAGGGAGTTGTGGTGTTAGTGTGGGTAATTTGTGTAATTTGGTGGGGTAAGTGTTTTTATAGG